GGCTCCAAGCTGGCACGACCCTCCAGGGAAAGCGCAGCCACATATAAAAAGAGTATCAAGGACATAATCTGCTCTCCCCACCTTGTCTAATATATTTATACTTGCTACACTTTATATTAAAAAAAAAATAAAAAAAATAAAGTGCCAGGCTAAGCCTTATGTCTTTACTGATCTAAAAGCCAAATTTCTTCTTTGGTGTTTTGAAAAATACATTTTCAACTTGACTACATCCAAAATTCAAGCTTTTTCTACAACTGACATTTTTTAATGCCATTTCCAGTAGTACCACAAAGAGGGCAGACTCCAAAGGCAAACAACTCCAGGGAGATCAAGCATATCTTGTCCACATAGAACTAGAATCTTTGAAGTTTGCTGGGCTGGAAAAGTATCCACTTAATTTTGGGGAGAAAAAGTTTGAAGCTTGAGATCTCCTCCCCTCATCACCATGCAGTTTAGCAATGATTCATTATAATTTTAATTATTATTCTTTTTAAATACACTTATATCCTTTAGAAAGTAAAACCACACATACTCAAGTCACAATGGCTGTTCTCTAACTTAAGCCTTTTTGCAGACACCTTAGGGGATAAAAAGCATAACAGTCACTTACAGAAAGAATAGTTCTTCAAAATACACTCCTCCCTCATAAAAAAAAAAAAAAAAAATCAGTTCGGAGACGTACAAGCCCCATAGGTGTAAAAACAGACTTTCTGAATAGTAGCCATGTTTCTGCATTATGTGCAATTGTCCCCATTCATTTCCCCGCTATCGAAACATTGGTCGTACAGGATGAAGAGACCGTAGCTCCTCCAGCAATGTAATTCCCACTAGCAGTGAGCCCTTCCCAGTGAAGGCAGAGGAAGGTGGAGCATGAAACTCATGAAAACAATATGCTGCTAGAGAAGCCAACACTGCCATTAAGAAACTTGCATTTGGGGGTTGTTTTGTGGGTTTCTTTTTCCTTCAAATATTTGACCACAGTTATAAGCAGGCAGAACTTTCAAAATCAGGCTACAGAACATTCCAGCCAAAAGGTAAAGGCGGGTGCTTGCAGACAAACGATTTACAAATCTTAGAAGGGAAGCCAAGTGTCTGAGCTCTCATTAACCCTGTGACATAAACTGAAGGGTCCTCATTTGCTGCCTTTTAGTAAATCTGAGTTAGGGTTATTAAATGGTAAAGCTTTATCTGTTACTCTAGTGCGCATAACCCTCCCACTATTCGGACGTAGCTACACAAGCAATCGATTCAACACAACCGAGGTGACAAACACTCCGGGCAGGCAGGATGGGAATGGGTGGGGAACCTCCTCAAGCAGATCAGCCAATGAACAAAAACTTTCTTCATATGGAACAGATTTGCTTTAGGGTTTTTTCCAAACCTCGGGGCTTGTTCCTGTCTCTTGCCAGAGGATTTCCATCCCCCGGTTTTGCTGGATGCCAAATCACTTAATACAGTAATAATCTTTTAATTTAAGAAAGCAGAAACCTCTGTTTCAGCGGGTATGCTGGGAGCAATGGGCGAGGACACGGAAAATACCTTGCCTCTCAAAGATCAAGTATTTGCACTTTGCTCACACTGTGCAATGAGAAAAATATGAAATGAAAGTGAAATATATTTGAAAGTGAAGGCTTTAAGTCACCCTCAGTAAGAACTTGGGACTGGACACACAGATGACTTTGTTTGATGAAAATTTCCAGAAGCTATCTCCAACCACGGGATCTGTCTTACTGACTGATCAGTGTTACACGTGGGGATGGAGTCTTCAGTGGCCAGCACTCAAAAAGGTCTGCAGATAAAATCAACAGACCAAACAGTCCTGAAGGACAGGGCTTGATGCAGTCAGGCAGAGAAAAGGAAGGAGAAATGCCATTCAGTAAACTGGAAACTGTATCGAGTACAGAACCCTGCTGTAACCTCATCATCCGCAACTGGCGCATTCAAGACGCGTAATCCCTTGATGCAAGTGCAGTCTTAAAAGTGACAGGCTTTGTGTTATAGAGGTTATTTCATAATGAGTCACAGTTCCAGCATTTCATACTTACTTGTAATTGTCATCTTCTACAAACTTTTGTAGTTCTTCTATGTACTGAACTGAGTTCAGATATTTTTGGACATGAGGCAACAGAGGAATATCTGGAGAACAGATGACATTCATTATTACTGTACCGTTCACTGGTAAGCAAATTTATTGTCCAGAAGCTATTTAAACAGAATCAGATCTCGTGCCTTTTTTATGTGAGCTGGAAGTACAGACTACAGTCCCTACTGATGCCAAAATCACTGTCCTTCACAGCAATTCTCATGTGCTGAGCTGACCTTCCCCATACCCATAAAGCCGGGCACATATCCCCCACGAGCTGCTCTGCTTATCAGAGCACAAGGAAGGGAAAAGGGAGAGCCTGGCCCTGGCCAAACTGAAGGACCGAACACAGAACCCAGAGGGTTGTATCTTCGCAGCCCACACTCTCACTACTTTGAGCTTTCAGCGAAGTTGCAATCCTGTGCTAATTCACATTACACTATCACAAATGCAGCTTTATTGCTTTTACTAGAACTTGAAAAGGACTGTGAGGGAGATCACCTTTGAAGAAAAAAAAAATATTACCTGGTCTATGAACAGAAATACAAATGTTCAGAAGACAAGAGGAATGTATTTTTTTATCTCCAGTAAAAGCATTCCTCCAAAAGAAATCCTATTTTTAAAATTCATGGTCATAAAATTATGAAACACAGGGATACAAGTTTTTAACACACTAGTAAACCTACCATTAAATATGATATATTCCAATTTTTACCAGAAAATATGTACTACAAAAGTGTTTGTGATGTAAGAAAAGGGCAATTTTATTCTGGTCTCCTCATGCTGATGTGTCATAACCAACAATACCAGAACAAACTTAGTAAGACTTTTGGGCTGAGAGGGTGAGGGAGAGCATTAATGGCATTCAAGTGGGTTGGGCCTTACTTACATTGCACTACGAAGGCAAATATTAAAGCTCTTACAGTTGTTCTCTTTAATATTGCACTTTTTACACACTAGCTTACCATATTCACATGACTGCTGTAAATCTGAGATAATTCGAAGAATGTTGTTCATTAGATTTGTTCTTTGCTCGCTTTCCAGAATGCTCCCTGTTGATGGGTAGGCAGAGTCGATATACGTCAAGTCTGACAGATAAATACCTAAATAAGATTAGAATGAAGAGTTTCTTTATTCAGTGTCTCACATTTAGCAGAAAAAAGACTCCCACTGAAGACTTTTCACTTTCAGAGACTAAAGAGCATACCAGCTGACAGAAGCATTGCCTTAGAATAGTATTTTGGGTCTACCTGAGAATTCATTTGGACAAGAGATCCTTCAGACCTCAGAGTAAAACCACTCATGAACGTAATCTTCTGCCCTATCACTGACTAATAATTCTCTCGACAAATATGACGTATACTAAACACACAATGCATAGTAAAAATTACTAATGATTTCAGGTAGTCTGCTACTTAATTCCTTCAACTGAGCAAAAGAAACACAAAACCCCACAAAACCCAGACGGAACAATCATATTGTAACTCTCAAGCTGAACTGGAAGTCAAACTCATCTTGCAGCAATGTGGGAAAAGCTAACTGTGCAAAAAGTGCACTCAGATTGAAGTGCGGTACGTGTCCTGCAGTTTATGTTAATCACAACTCCAAAGATTCAACAACAGCCTTATAGATAAGTCTCTTCAAGTCTTCCACCTGCTTTCTTCCCCACCACCACTGTAAGCTTACTTCTCTTCCAATCTCTTGATCACATAGAGAGGAAAATTATCTCCTTACATACTAACGCTGTAGATAACTTATTTAATTACAAATGCTCCATTTTTCGAACTTCACCCCAAACCCAGTAATTTTTGTCTTAACAAAATGTAACATATTCTGACCAACTCTGCTATTGAAAGGAATTCCCTTCATCCCCTGCATCTTCCATAAGATATCAAAAAAATGTATACAAACTTAAATAACATTTTTAAAGAAACTTATTTCAGCAACTGGGAATTTCTGGAAGTATATTTTGCTTCACCTCTCAGCCTCATATAACCAAAATCATAACAAGAAGTTTGGCTTTACAGGTGGAAGACTATTAATACAACCTCACAAGAACAGCAGTTGTATTTGTATAGCACCTAACCAGTACAGTCCTCAAATGTGAGGAGGAAAACTCTGGGCATCACTCCAACATCAACATATACACACGCGTGTGCGCACACACACAGAAACAAATTAAAATACTTGTGGTTGAGAGGTGACATATAAAAAAGTGAATAAAAAGGTATTACACACAACCTGATATACTACTAAATTTCTCAACTTTCTATTCTGCTAGAATCAGTTTATTAAAAAACAGAAGGGATGATAAGAAACATCAGATAGTCAGATTTAATCGCTGAGCTATCTGGACTGTGTAAGCTGTCCAAAACCTAACATTGCTGAGCAATGTCCAAACAGGCCTTAAAAATCCCAAATCTGCTCAGTCTCCCTCGCACAGAAAGTAGTAAATCATGCTTAATAATTTTACTTAAAGAAACTCACTATGAACAAGCATGTGCAATATTATGCAAGATTTTACAAACTAATGTATTCGTAGGATTATCAGTATGAATGGCTTGTTTAATTAAGCACTGATTTTTAATTCTTTTAGCTGAATCGAGAGGTCTCCTGTAGACAGCTGTTCTCTGAACTCACTCGATGCGTTTCTATGAAGTCTAGCACATGAGGGTAATTCCCTTTCAAGTGTAATTGGCACATCCCTTGAAAGAAACCAAAAATATCAATGAGAGCAAACTGAATGCACTTAAGTGTGGGCTGTCTTTTGACAGAACTAAAACCAGTACTCTGTTCTTCACCAAGCATCATCTCTGTGGCTTTTGCTACTTCTACCACCAGTCATATGTCATCAAATACTCTGATACCTGCCCAAACCATCACACATGCAGTTTAACCTTTTCCATATGGATCCGCGACTTCGTGCGTTTAACAACTGGGACTGTTTCTTATTAAGTGAACGTCAAGAATTGAACGCAACATTCTGTTGGAACATTCTTCTAGACTCTAAATGGTTCATTTTTCCTGTTGCATCCAGCTACGCTGCCCCTTTTATTCCCACCAACACAAATCGAGTTTTATCAGCCTGAAAGAATCTTTCTGCTAAATGAAGTCCAGTACTGTAATAACTTGAAAGGCATCTTTAGGCAGCGTAGTAAAAGTGTTTTTTTTCTGAACTCTTGCACAGTCTGTTGCCATATGGTACCCTCCCTTCTCCTGGCAAACAATCTTTCCTTGTTCCTAACTTCTCAGCCTCCCCACCCCCTCCCTTTTCTGGAGGGTATGGATAGGAAATCCGAAGGAGGAGTTTCTTCTGCTCTCAGTGTGTTCGCGGTGACATCATAGGTGGGCTGAACGGCTAAGTCGACAGTGTGTTTGTTTAAAAAAAACTGTCCAAAAGTGATGTATATGGAATCTGGGTCAGCTGTAGCTGGTTAGTGCACTTCTGCATGTGAGAGTAAAACACTGCAGTTTCAAAAAAAAATTCTTGCTCTCTTCTGGGATAATACATACTGGATCACTACTTTTTTCTCTTTTTCTCCCCTCTTTATTTTTTTAATGATTAGTTAGCTTGGTTATCGTATGGAGAAATCTAACTCCTCAATACAGCTTGGATCAAACAGAGAAAGACAAAAGCAGTTTTCAACTTTAACTGCAGATTAACAATCCACAGCATCGGGTAATATAGGAAGAAAAAGCAACTGGGCCTCTGGATTTTCCATTACCACAGAAGCAAAACAGCTAGAAGATTTTTTTTTCTTGGTAAGTTTTAAAGCTATTCTTACTTGCAAGTTTAATTTTGAGCTGTTTGTATTCTACATACGTGTCTTTCCATGTACAATTGCAAAGAAATGAATCTCTCCCAGCCTGAGAAAATTTTGACAACTAAAATATAAAACTCACTTTTGTGGCATTCGATAGACTTTAGAAACTTGGAAAGAATTATAAGGCACTCTGCATCAGAACAGAGATTAACTCATTCCAGTTGTAGGATGAACAAGTTGCAGTTGTTTAGCTGTAAATCTTCTGTAGATCTTGTTATCTGCAGTCACGGAAAATTAGTAGGACCGGATTCTTTGCTAAGCGTGTAATTCAGGTATTGTGAACATATTAAGTGAAATCCTGATCCTACCAGAAAGCAAAAGCCAAAAATCCTATCGATTTCAGGGAAGCTGGATTTCACCCAACACCAGAGCATAGACCTAGCATTATTAGAACTAGAAAATGGATACCTCAATAAAACCACTGTAAAAAGTCCTGAGTAAATCAATGCACATCTGTAAGTAGCAATCACTGTATATTGTTTCAACTACATTTTTGTTTATGGTACTTCTGAGCAGCAGAAGTACTCTGAGTTGTACAGCCAACCAAGAAACCAGAGTTATACATCGATTCAGAATACACCCAAGTTTGCAGCACAGCTGTGCAGCTGAAAATGCAAAGAGACTGCTGCAACAGGCACTAACCCCTTCCTTTAATAATCTGTGCAAGTTAATTTTACCTCAACTAACAGTTAGCCTGTTTCTAAATAAAGATCCATTTTATAAATATGAATGCAACACAGAAGGCAACGGCATATTAAGTAGAAAAACAAGGGGTTTGCTACAGTTCTTCTTTGGGGAGAGAGAGGGGGAAGGATGCAGCTACGAGTTAACAATTAAAACAAGGAAGTTGTTTCCAAGCAGAAGACAAAAGTCCAGATAAACACCTAAAAAAAAAAAGTTGCTAATACATAATTTACTAGTTTTTGCCTTTCTTCATGCTGACTTGGAAATTAAAGTACAGTCAGTAACCCAGAACAATGGAAAAGAATTTAAGCTATGTATTTGTATTAACAAACTGAATCTCCTGACACATTAGAAGAGAATGGGGGGCGGGGCGGGGGGGGTGTGCTAAAAGAAGACACAAAGCAAACTTCATTTTTAGTAGCTATGGGAGGAAGAAAAGTCTGAAGCAGCCTTGACAAACAAGAAAGATGGATCCTTTCCAAGTTCTTGAGCCCTTTCCCTCACTATCCTTTTGTGCGTCTTTACACGTTAAAGAGAACAATATGACCAACAAAAACAACAACAAAAAAACCATTTGAAGCCTCCAGTGTGTGCTCTGGACACCAGTCTCCATTCATTCATGATTAGCCAAGGTTTTGATTTATGCTGCTTAGAACAATTTAAAAATCTTTTGCAAATGAAAACAGCTGAGTAAACAATTTAAAAGCAACAAACTGGCTATGTGCAAGGTTTTAACTGCCTCTCCTTTGCTATCTTCCAACACTAGAGTACAAATTTTGAAATGCTTGTTTTAAAAAAAAGAGCAGAAAACTCATACTAATATTACGGTGTCACCATCAGAACGATCTGAAGTACGATGGTCAAACATGTCACCTAATGTTTTCCAGGAATTTACTTCAAAGAATGGAAATTCTGAACTTTTAAACTTTTGCCAGTAACTATGGGGCTTTATGAGATTTTAATTATTGTTCTACTGGGCTTAGGGTTTTTTTCCTGTAATGTCTCCTATTAGTCTGGCCCTTAAAATCCATACACCAATGAATGAAGCAATATTTCCTATAGTAAACATCACTAGATGCTTCATGTCTTTGGTATCTGTTTTACAGAGAATTCTAGAGCCTCTAAGTAACATATTTTCAAATATAAAATGCACCACTCCATCGTACCTGCCTGTTAAAAAGGTGCAAACACACACAATGGCTGCAAACAAATACCAAAACCAACAAAAAACCCAAACAACACATCAAACAACTCTGGAAATGCTATGACATTTTGCTGTGTTTTCAGAATCTCTACTATGATAAGATTTACAGATCTCTTCTGCATAGAGATTCTAAGAACCTATCAATTCCAGTAACTGCTGCAAAAAAACCTGAAGGATTTTAGATTGCCTTTCTGAAAAGGAATCAGATTCCCATCAGCAGAATTCTGTGACTCAATACATCATATATCTGACTAATGATGAACATATTATTCCTGGATCCCAGTCAATACAACTGAAAGTAATCCTGGTATTTCAGGAGAGGCGAAGTAACTTGCCATAAAAGCACTTGTTTATATAGAGGAAAATAATTTACTGAAGTGCACATATAGATCAAAAATCCTTGTGAACACTTCTCCTGTAATGAGTCTTTTCCCCATGTAAGTATCACTTCTAAATGTTATGGACCCAGATTTAAGCTAAAATAAAAAACCACAAAAATATCTGCTTTTCCTGTGTAAAGGTAGGGGGCTGTAGAGTCTTTTATTGATTTTATCTGCTTAGACAAAGCTCAACATAAAGTGAAGTACGTGTAACATCGGTAACAGTTTTCAGATTAACTGGTATCATGCTCAGAGGATCTTTATTCTCAGTATTATCATTTACTTTCTCAGAAAAAATTGTTTGTCTTTCATTTATAAACATGTAAGGAAGGTCTACAAGAGAAGTCACCATTGCTATTTATCTTTTGATCATATTATTTGAATAAAGATATGTACTGATACTGCACTTTCCATGCAAAGGGAATCCTATACTCACGTTTACCTGTGACACTTCTGTCACACTCAGCCATAACAACCTACGCTGCCCAGGGAGAAGCAGTCTTCATCAGCTCTGAAAGAACAGATGCTAATTTGTGTTGTGGGTCTCTAAATTCTACAAACTGCTGAATGTGAGAGTCATAGCAGTACGAAGAACACAGTTTGTTGTGTAGAAAGTTAAAAAACGCCAACTGTGTATTAACTTCCACACTCCCTTGTCCCAGCAACTCTAATATTTGTAAGTGATACAACATTTTTGGGGGCAACACAGCCCATGCTGTAGTAGTTTCTCAGTAGCTACTGGCTTATTTTGCTCTTTGAAATTGGAATTTTGTTCATTTAAACACTTTTAAAAGTTACAAATCAAAGACTAATTTTTGGAACAAGTTTCTTTGTTGTTTGTTTTTTTTTTTTTTGCACGAGGAACAGTCTGGAAAAAGAAATAAACCAGAAGAAAAAGAATGCCATTAAATGTAAAATGGTATTGAAGCCCTGTCCACAGCTCTGAGTATTTCTGACAAGATGATGATGAAGCTCGTGTTGCTATGAATAGCTGCACATTTTCTCCTGCAGAAGCAATAAAACATCAGCATGCCAGGACATACGTAATGCAGCTTCTAGAGAAACCGGAGACCCAAACCTGGGCAAAACAGAAACACCACAGAACCGAGCGAAGTGACAGGCTATTCTAATTTTTAAAAAAACATGAGAGTTCCTAGAGTTAAATGATGGTATTGTAAAGCAATAGTATCTGTAATCATGATCTCTCTTGCTTATTTTCCAAGGTGTGCATTCAGGGATATCAGCAGCCCCACGCACTACAAGCAACTCCAGACTTGCAGGAAGGGCTCGAGACTGAGGTTCCACCTAAACTGATCCTTCTGCCTCAACCGCTTTATCAGTTAATGACACCACCTAAACATCAAAATCTGGGAATCTGGGACATAATGCATCCGACTGAAAACCCCTACAACTATTTCCCAACTCTAGTATCTGCCATTTTTAGGTCTAACATATTAGGTGATCACTCTGTGATATTCTGGATAAACAGTTTATATTTTCTTAAGCTGCTTGCCCAGAACATCAGAAAATTCCTGTAACAGTATTTTCATTTCCTCTTAAGCTGATTAAAACTCCAGGTAAATATCTTACTCAGAATCTGTTCTTGTATAACAAGTTCAGGATTAAGCTTTCTCAAACCATGCCAAGCAACATTGTCAGACATTTAATTTTTTCAACGGAAAAATTTCCACAGAAGCATATATGTTCCCATATATCAGGTAGATTCTCAGAAGAAACTCAGAGCTGCTTATCTGAATGTCTCAGTTTAGTAAAGGCCATCTGAATTATTTCAGAGCTCCAGGGCATAATTGTATGCAGCTGTTACATTTGGTTATGCTATATTAGACCATTTAATTCATTTTACGGTCTGGCGGCACACATATAGGCAGAGAGCTTCTAACTAACACAGAAGTGTAAAAGTTCAAAGTGAACGCACACAATATTATAAGAAATGTGGAAAGCAGACTGCAGCAGAATACACAGCCAGAAAGTGAGCTGCACTGCAAAATGTTTGGTTTTGAAAGATCCATTTAAGTTTTAATGTATTTCAGGGGAAAAATGTGCTGCTGTGGGGAAAACCCCCAGCCATTCATTATTTAAGTAACTGTATAGGGTCTTTAAAAACTACCAAGAACTAAAGTGCTATTCACCTTTCTGGATTATGAAGTAGATATTATATACTGTGAAAATAGTAAAATACTGTACTTGTACTATGGCTTCATCCTTAACTACATGCATCTACAAACACTGAACATAAAAGCACTGAAGAATCATTTAGATGCAAAGAGGTTTCAAACTTGAGACAGTTCAGCTCATCCTTGTCAAGTTAGAAACCACACACAGAGCTGTTTCCCAAGTGTGTACCATGATTCATGTGAAAATTTAACCTAATGAACTTCCAAACCTGAGCACTGTTCAAGTGATTAATATTTTAAATGTCTGAAATTACCAAAGAAAAATATACAATTAGCTCTGGAGAAAAGTGATACTTTTCCCTACTTTTTTTTTTTCATCCTTTTAAACAGAAGTCACACTTTCAGCAGAGAAATATTAACAAAACTTTTCACCAAATTCTGTTTTCCAAAAAAATATTTACTAGTAGACACCAAATACTTATTGCTACATACGTTAACAGTAAAACACAGAAGTTTGAGAAAGCTTGATTAAAAACTTATTTCTCTATGCATTCCCTCCATCTACGTAGGGTAAGAAATGATTTTCAGTCCACGTTAAAAGCAAGCATTTTCTTTCCCTCCCAGTAGCAGTGCTTGCAATATAAGTGTCAGCCAAACGAGAAGTTATTTTTTAGGCAGCAGTGGAACATTTGATCAAGATTGCTAGATCTGACTCCTGATTGCATGTCCAGCAGGGTTTGAAGTTTGTAACCACTGCTCTTGATGAAGCCAAAACCACGAAAGACTTGATACATTTACCCTGAGGTCGAGCAGACATCAGTTGCAGCAATAATACTAAGCCCAGTAATGGAACTGGGAGAAGCGACCCGACACAGAAGCCAGGCTACCATTTGTAAATGTGAAAGGAAAAGGAGCAGCCCAGGCCTGCTTCTCTTCCAGGGTGACTGTTTCGGGATTGCCAAATGCATTTAAATCCGGACTTGGCAGGAACAGCATGAAAATTAACTTTCTCTGGTTTTACTTTATTTCTCTTCATAACTAAACAAAGGCCACTCTACGAGGCCTTGTACAACCACTGATAGGAGTCTGGAAAGCAAAACCAGATCAACAGCTAAGACGGGAACGGCCATCTGCCTGACAAAGCAAATAAAACATGAATAATGAGGGGTTTTTTTCCTGATTTAAGTGCTATCTATGTATATTACCTCAAGTACTTGAAAAACATGGTTATTAAAAAAAAAGTGGTCTCTCTAAACACATTCTTGGATCTTTATCACTGCATTTTAATTCTTTACACGAAGTTAAAAGGAATGCATTAATTTCTTCGGAAGGTGAATGAAACATTTCAGTGTGGTATTTGTAGTGATAACACTCCTCATACTTCTGTGCTATTAGCATAAAAATATCCACAAAGTTAGGAAAATAGTGTGACAACAATTTTAAATGCTCACCTCACAAGGCAATTAAGCAGGGATGCACATCTTTAGCAAATTCAAAGTTACTTGTCATTTCTAATGTTTAAGATGACTATTTTACACTGATCTCCTGCCTAACACTGATGTCCAAAAATGGTGTTAGATGCATGTGTATACGTAAATTTGAAAAAGTGTGTGTATATATTAATAGGTAAGTGCATAGTATTTAACAAATTATACATCTATATATACATATATAAAGCTAAGAGGACCAGAAGAGCTTACATAATCCAAATTCCAAAAGCTATAGAACTGTTTTTGAAAATACTATGACTGTCTCCCCACCGCCCTTCCAGGAGGATGTTCTACAAGCACTCCGTTTTGTTCTATAATCTCGTGCATGTAGTTGCAGCAAACACAGATGTAGGCAGTCAAACTTATAATGAAAGCATAATACATAACCTAAAGCAGAACACTGCTGCTAGAAATTTAGCCAGTGCAACAATTCTCTACTAAATCCAGTATCAAGTTTCAGGGTTTGCTGCTCAAAACAGAAAGCCAATCTTTGAAGCTAATCTAGTAGACTCTAACTCCAGGTAACAGATTCCAAAGACCTGCCAACGCACACCCAAGGGTGGCAAACCCATCTGGGTTTAGGAAGCTTGAGCAGTACAGGAGCTTCAGTTACGGCTCTCATTTAATGATTTTTATCTTTCATCTGCTCCATAGTCTCTTCTGACAGTCACCATCCTTGCTCGAAAATGAAGATATTTAAACGGACTTCAGGCGTACTGTTGTTCCTGCTGTTGTCAATCTGGTGCTGCGCGGAACAATCTACGCTGAACAAAACGCCCCAGCGGAGGCATCCTCGTTCAGCCGACGGTGGAGAGGAAGGGAAGAAATGTGGTTACACGTTCTTGGTCCCCGAACAAAAAATCACAGGGCCAATTTGTGTGAACACTAATGGTCCAGGTGCTGGTAACAGAAAAGATGAAGTCACGAGAATGGACATAGAGAACTTGAAGGACGTGCTGTCCAAGCAAAAGCGGGAGATTGACATTTTGCAGTTGGTGGTGGATGTGGATGGAAACATTGTGAATGAAGTGAAGTTACTGCGGAAAGAAAGCCGCAACATGAACTCTCGGGTCACCCAACTCTACATGCAACTCTTGCATGAGATAATTCGAAAGCGTGACAACTCACTCGAGCTGTCTCAGCTGGAAAACAAAGTCCTTAACGTCACGACAGAAATGTTGAAGATGGCGACAAAGTACAAGGAGCTTGAAGTAAAATATGCAGCACTAACTGATCTGGTAAATAATCAGTCTGTGACTATCTCGCTGCTGGAAGAGCAGTGTTTGAGAATCTTCTCGCGACAGGACACCCACGGGTCTCCACCTCTCGTTCAAGTCGTGCCCCAGCACATCCCCAACAGCCAGCCTTATGCTCCCGTCCTTCTGGGAGGTAACGAGATCCAGCGAGACCCGGGGTACCCAAGAGACAGAGATGTAAGGCCACCGCCCGACCCAGCTACTTCTCCTACAAAGAGCCCCTTCAGAGTCCCACCACTGGCTTTAATTAACGAAGGTGAGTCACCTGTTGCTGTTTATCTAACCTGAGATTTCTCTGTTTCAGCAGGGAACTGTCCTGGCTATAGAAATAGAACAAAGAATTCACAGCATCTGGCACAACTAGCCCTTGCTCCCAATTCACATTTTCTCCCCTGCCCCTCAAAAGCTTTAGTTTGTTTGTCAAAAAGTCTAATTCCTAAGCTAAAGCTGCATAAGATGAATTTACTGAAATAGTCGATACTCAGAAACTCAGTCTGAAAAATTCATGCCTTCAAATCAGAGTACTGGGGTTTCTCTCTCCTGCTGGGTTTGAGGCATGGCAATGAAAATTCACTATTAGCATACACTTTCTAGTATTTAGCCCTGTTTCTCTGAAGATGCCTACTAGCTACATGTTACAGTAACTGGCAATGGTGAATAAAAAGCTAATTCATCTTAAATAAATGAAGTCATTTTAAGTAGTTGTCCTTTATACTCACACACAAACATCTGCCAGAAGTTGGTCCAGCTAGAAGAATTTTACTCCTGTTTTGACCTTCTTTAAAATGAACATCTAAATTCACCAACATAGCTGTGCAATAAATCTCCAAATGTTCAAGTATTTAAGAGAGTAAGATAAGTTTGAAAGAATAATTGAATCAAGGCTGAATCCAACTACATGCATTCAGGATTGAAAAATTAAAATGAGTTAACTGCATCCCCAGCAATTGGCTGTCAGTAGGGGATGGCGAGTTAAATTAATACTCTAAATATTACCAAAATACATTCAGGCAACTACCACGTCTTCATGCGTTACATTCTTCAGGTCATTAGATAAATTCATCCATCACTAGAAACAAAACTATTGACAAGATAATTAACCACCTCTGAGCTGCCCTGAATTTTGTCATGATTCTCACTTTAGTAAAATTCTGATGGAATTGCAATTTAAAAAGAAATTAAGGAGCCAGAAAAACAAATTTTTCTTAGGCATCCATTCATGTGATTGCTCTTGACTTCTTTTAGCTTGCACAGCAATAGGGTTTGGTTGGATGTCTTTTGCGGTTTTTTGTTTGGTTTGGGTTTTTTGTGTGTGTTTGGGTTGTTGTTTTTTTTTGCTTTCAAACTGCCTTTAGTCACAGCTGGAAGTTCAACTCGGTTCCTACGAGGAGGACAAACATTTATTTGTGACCACTCTACAGCATTCCAGGCAACTAGCTGCTGATGTAAAGAACAACTATTTTTATTCAGAGTCTGCAGAAAATTCAGGCACAAGCCCAAGTAAAATACCAGATGTCACGAGGATTTAAATCGCACATCATGACACAAAGGAAACAGCTAACATAAAAGTATTACATTAATGTCTGGTCAGACAACAAAAGTATAATTCCACAAAACAGATGACTTCCTGTTTCCCAGAAACCCCGTGATTCAATATTTTGTTATAAATGCATCTTTTTCTTTCTCTGTATATGCCTGCTGTACATAGGAAGCAATGGTGCTATGTATCTTCCTCTAAACTATCTACCATGGTTTTCACTAGCCCCTCCATCCCTAAAATTTCCAAGTTTGAATCCTTTTTTAAAAGGCAACACAAAGAAATCCTCAGAAATGGATTTTAACATTATTCATCCTCCTTTATTTAATATTAGATTCTTAAGTTTGGAAACCCTGGGAAAAAGGGTTAAGGATTGCTAGAGCTGGTAGAGCATCAGCCATCAAAACCAAAACTTCTAAACTGCAACACAACGCCCAATTAACATCTCTGACTTTTTTTTGAAATGAAAGCAAGCATATTCAATGGTACACAGAACTAAAAGTGTCTGTGTCATAGGTAAATGAACTTTCCAGTTAAAAGATGATGACTATTTATAATGCTTAAAGATGTCAGAAAAATCAAACGAATACCAAACAGTCCTATTTAGAAACTGGCCTGTCAAAGACCTGGTTATGACAGAATAAACAACTGGACAAACAAGTAGAAGCTTTTTCCTTCTGTATCTCATGAACTTGTACCTAACAAATGCAGAAGTTTACAAAAGGGCCAATGAGCATCTTAATATTGCGGGTGGAAAGTAAATTCAAAATACACGGAGAACAGAAGGATGAGATTGTATTTTCTAAACTCATTTTGGCTAATTTGCATAACAACTGACTAAATAATGAGAAAGAATGGTGTTTCGGTGAATTACAGTTTTTCACAATTATCTTAATCCTCAGACTAACAACCAGCAGCCCCACATTTTATTGTCACTATGGTGCAAAAAGTCTCTTCAAAGTAGACTTGAAAATCACATACACAACCCTGCTGATAATACCTCTCAGTTAGCAAGGTAAAGGTGGGGTTTTTTTAAAGAAGTATATGCTCCATTTTATTTTAGAATTTTCCTCTACTATTGCCCCCAAAAAATCTCTCTGTGAAACTTAAACAAGAATAGCTTTTAAGATCATCCACTCAAGGTAACATTTAGTATCTTAAAATAGAACTCAACCATTTTATTAAGCTCCCAATTCAAAATTTTTCATCACTTTTCTTCTTTGCTACAACTAATTCACAATAAAATACGATGTGTGCTAAATCATACATCTAAATCGCAATTTTAAAAGTGACATATTTAACAGATCATCTTCTCAGTGTATTTCTAACTTAAAATGGTCTCAGCAACTTTGTGTATGCAGACTGTTACAAAAGACTAGATCGCATGAGAGATTTATTCCTCACATAGATGACAGCATTTTAAACAGAGTAATTATTTTTTTCATTAGCCACAGCCTTCACTCATACCAACACTGTGGAGAATCTTACACCATTTCACAAATCTCAGCATTTCCACTGAACAAGAAATGGATCAATTCTTAGGCCATGAACTTAAAATAATCACACAGTGAACTTAAAAAAACAAATCACTATATATAACAGAGAATCTACTGCTCAAAAAAGATTGAAGGCTATCCACCAAAAGTTACAGGTTTTCTTGGATTTCCTCACACTAAGTGCACAAGTCTATTACCTCTACTACAACGTTAACTTAGGATAAGCACACACACAAATCTGCGCATCAAAAAGCAGACAAGATGCAACCTGTGACCTTAAGGACAGAGAAGTGATGCAAGTGTATTATATAAACAGACCGGTCCCATTCTGTTGGCCTTAGAAGCTACTTAAAATTAGTCCAGACATCCATGAAAAAAGAGTTCTCAATTCCTCCGCTCCAGTAGAAATCACATGAAACAGTACTCTGCAGATCTGCGCCATTCTTAATATTCAGTTAGCATTATAAAAAATACTATTCATCTGTTTATGCTTTCTCTAACGCAATAATCGCCTCACAATAATACCTCTTGAACAATCTCCCTGTTGTGCAGTTATACAGCACCCGAATTTACCTTAGACAGTTCAAGGGAAGGGAATGAGCCCCAACTTAGTCCGGGAAATTATCTACCCACTGGACAAACTTTGCAATGTGCAAAACCGATGTGGAAATTTTAAGAGAAAAAGCACTCGTAGGCCAAAGCTACAGCATTTCTTTCCTAAGCTATTACTGCAAGAACAACAAAAACATCATCAAATGCTGACATTCCAGGATGCAGCAGGACGGCTCAATGCCTGCAGCATTCTTGGTGGCACTGTCACAGCAGAAGCTCCAGTCACCTTCATTAGACACACAAGCTTTTTGCACTCTCATTAACAGGAAATTCTTTATAGATTTCTTGCTAACAACACACTTATCCTACTGGCAACTACTTCTTTAAAATCTAAAAGAGTGACCTTCAATTTGCTTTTGCTGTGCAACCTTAATCTGCAATGAAGGTCACGTCCAGTCAACCTCTGCTTTTTATTAAAGAATACCTTAACAATTGTCTTTTATGCTTCTTTGCACATTGCTGCTTCTGGGACTGATGAGTTTTCTCTGAACTTCCAAGCAGATTTGAGAAAACGAGCTTTCTAAAGTGAGAGGAAAGCTGCAGGTGTACACAAATGTACCAAGAATGAGTTTTCAAACACATTTAGGGCATCCACCACTAAAACTAGCCATCAGGACACATTCTGCTTTTCATTGGTAAATAGGCAGTCTCTCTAAATCAACAGAAGTAATGATACAGAAGTAATGAACATAACTCCTTCTCTAAAAAGGTAGAAGATAAAGATATTACCAAAAATTTAAAGGCAAACTAGGCAAAGTTTTCAGAGATACGTAAGCTGCATGCTTTAACAAAACAACCAGATGCTCTTCTGTAAGTAGTATTTGTAAAACCTATTTTCCTTCGTTAGTAACCATCTACACGTAGCACACCAGGATGACACATGAAACTTAAAAAGATTCCTATCCACAGTCAGCCTACTGATCCCAGAACTAGGTGAGGACATAAAAGCAAAAAAGTTATGCATCATAAGAACAGTCACTAAATTTCGCATCCGTAGACTTTGACAGTAAATATATTTCTTACGGCAGCTCTCAAACTATTTATGTATTAAGGTGTCTTGAGTTTGCTCTGTTTTGTTTTAAACTTCTACAGTTTCAAACTGATGAACCAGGGCAATGAAGTAAAATTGACATCTACCTTTTGTAGAGGTGGCACTAGAGAAAATCATTAATGAAAATCAGAACGCACTTCTTGAATATCAAGAGTCAGAGTAGAGAAAGTTAAAGATTGGGCAATGGTAACCAAAGTCTATTATCTGGTTAGCAAAACGAAGATTTTGTTTAAAAACACATATATAGGATATTGGTACATTTATATACACACACACTTAATTGAAGACAGTAACTTTTCACACTGTTTTCCATGGTAGTTTTACCTTAATTGAATTACCAGCTTCCATTAGCATTACAAAAGGCTCTTGAACAACGCGCGCTGCACAGCCAAGCTCAAATGCTTACAGTATTTCTTTTCAAAAAGGTCCATTCAAAGACTGCCAACAAGCCAAGGAAGCTGGGCATTCCAACAGCGGGATTTATATGATCAAACCTGAAAACAGTAACGAGCCAGTGCAACTGTGGTGTGAGAACAGCCTGGACCCTGGAGGATGGGCAGTTATTCAGAAGAGGACAGATGGATCTGTCAACTTTTTCAGGAACTGGGACAGTTACAAGGTAAATTCTGAAATGCAGAATATCAGCTGCTTCCTTTCAGTGTGGTAGTGGCACTCCCTATCATAATCAAGATGGAGCAAACACTTCCCCTGCATTTCTTCCTTGCAAGCAGTTGTGCCGAGTGATAGACACTGAGGAGCTAGAAATAGCTAGCTGCTTAAATTGATAGAGAAATTAATTTTAGAAGCAAAGATACTTGAGAAGACTGGTCATCTCTCTCTCAGAAGCAAATGTTCTTCAGTGGAAATGTCCTATTTCACCCGATGCATTGCATTATTTTGTATGAACTAACTTATTGTCTGAAACAGCCTGCGTTTGTAGTGGACAACACAGCCGGGGAGTCATGTGTTGTTCTAGTCAGTGACTGGGAAGTCATTTATTACAAAGACCTACCTAAACACGTGATTTTTACTACCACACTGAATACTACAGTAAGGATTTGAAAAGCTAATTATCTCTCCTATGAATAAGTAAGTCCAGCCAGGGAAATTCTTCATTTAAGTACATCGATAGGTTTGCAGGATATTCCGATATTATGCACTAGCAGGCATAACCCCTAGGATGAGAAACGTGCTGCTTTGGAGCAATTATATGCTAGACAGGAAATTTGAAAATCCTTTTTTTTTTAATAAATAATAAATGTGCTGACTTCACACATATAGGTCACAGTTTTCCCTGTGATAGAAAAATCACTTTAAATGGATTTACAATCACCATGTGTACTGTATCTGAAGAGAAAACTGATCTACGTTTACCTCCATCAGCAATCTAGAAAAAACAACATATATACAAAGGAAATGAGAAAAATAAATTACAAGGATTTTCACTTTCTGCATTATTGCAATTTAATGGTTCAAAATGTTAATAGCATTCTGTAATAGCAGTTATTCAAACCTTTTACTCCTTAGAAAAGTAGGTGGTTGGGTTTTGAGGTTTTTTTTTACATTAGTTGGGTTTTGGCGGGTTTTTCTTTCAGTTTTGGGGTGGGGTGGTTTTTTTGTTCTTTTTAATTTTTTTTCAAGTCTTATAAGACAGTTACAGAGTGCCTTACAGAGAAATCATGACCATTTTGAACATAATGCAAGTAAAAGTTAGAAGATTGTATAACTTTTGTGTAATAATGGCTCAAGCTTGGGCAAATTTGCCCCCTAGAGATTTCTCACGGAACTGCCATGGCTGAAGGAGATGCTCCTATGCCCTCACTTAAAGTACGAGAAGGTGGCACCTCTGTCCTGCAAACCAAATCCTGCACCACTGACAACAGAGACATCTCCCACATATCTGTTTCCTTCCCAACCTCTGTCCAGCTGCACGGCTGCCATGCCGACGCGAGGGAGGTACTGCAGACGTGGCCACAAGCCAGGAGAAAAGCACTGCTACCATTTTTGGCAGCAGCATGATCTAAATCAACTTAAGGCAATTCTGAAAGAGCAGCTTGAGGCAGGAGCCTCGACCGTTGAGCTACTGGAGAGAGACTTCCTCAGAAAGTCACTCGAAGGCGGTGATCAACTGCTGGTCCTACATAGCCAAGGGCCTGAGAAGGAGGGGAGGGACACTTCAGGAATGAGGAAGTGCAACGGATCGCTGCGGTGGGTCACGCATCCACCTTAGCTGTGCCACCAAACACGAGCGCCACTGGCTGACTCAGGGACAAGAGACAACAGATATGAAATATCACTTCACAGCTACTGTACTGGTAGCCTGTGATTAAGGAGGAAAGATATCGTTATATTTAATTTCTAATAAATCTAGCAAAGAGCAGAAGCTAATTGTGATTAAATTTACACAGAAATCCAACACTAGTTGCATTTAAAAGGCATCAAAAAGTTATTTACCTTGAACCCTGAGACTGTTGATCCATAAACACTTTTTCCAACTTGGAAACATATACCTCTTAAATTTCATTATTCATAAACTCTTCCAGATGCCCTTATTTTTGCCAAGAAACACATTGTTTCAGTTTCCCTAGCCTCTCTCATTTTATCTTAAAAATGAGAGGACATAACAGAAAATGGGTACTTTGGCCACCTTTACCGATTCTGGTAGCACCTCATGCAGTGAGCAGTCCAACTGAGGAAATGGCCAAGTGTAATAAAATAAAGAATTTAAATGCATGGGTTGAGCAATCATTCAGAAGCTTAAAGGCTTTCAGTACCCAAGGCCCACCAGCTTATAATGCTCCTGCTGATGAGCAATTTTGACAAACAAGAAAAATTAAGCTAACACCAATTTCTGATCTTTTGTACAGAAAGGATTTGGGAACATCGATGGAGAGTACTGGCTGGGACTAGAAAACATTTACATGCTTACCAATCAGGATAATTACAGACTATTGATCGAGTTAGAGGACTGGAGCAATAAGAAAGTCTATGCAGAATATAGCAGCTTCCGTCTGGAGCCCGAGAGTGAATTCTACAGGCTACGCCTAGGGACATACCAAGGAAACGCAGGCGATTCCATGATATGGCATAACGGAAAGCAATTTACAACACTGGACAGAGACAGGGATATGTATTCAGGTAAGGAAACCAGTAAGCATGAACATAGTAGATTCCATTAGTGCTACCACCTTTAAAATAAATAAAAAAAGAAACACAAAAGAAGTATGTATGTTCTAATAAAACAATTCTATTGAAAGATGTTTCAAATTGACAGTGATAAAAAAATCACATCGATAGGGCCCCTTTCAAGCCCCTGCACCATTCAGAAATTCAAGTTCTATGACCCACACTATGGACACACAAGCAAGCTTTGTATTTAGCTCAGTGATGCCCTTATCACTCACATGTGACTGCAGTTAGAATACCTGTGCAGCTGATGTCTCGGAGCAGTGGTGTGGGCAACATCACCACCACGAACTGCCTGTGGACAGCATGAAAGGAACTGCAACTGTGCACAGGCTTAGTTATGTACCGATACTTGGGAAATGGGCAGCTTGCTTCATTTCATTCCCCTTAAAGGATGCTTTCTTTGCTCATTTCCAAGCTCCCTCTCCAGCTCTCTCCTTCAAGCCTTAGCAGTAAAAGGGAAGTCAGAGAGCGCAATACTTCAACTGCTTTTTCTCAGCTGTCAGCAACCATAAAGCTGTACAAATCCTGCAAACTCTGAAACAAGCCTGTTAACAGCAAATACGCAAGTTACAAGCAACTCTTTGTGGAACTGCAGCCCCGCACACTGCTCAGGACTGTATCAGCTCACATTGCTCCCATTGAAGTATTTCTAAACAGCACATAATCCGAGTTCCTCGAATGTTAGCTCATGGGCGAGCACTGCTGGTAGTCTCAGAACAGTTGATCGCCTTGGTTTTCAGCTGCCACATTAAAGACCGTGCCAATAATCTCCCCCTCCAGGCAACAGTCACTGTTAGAAGAGAACTCAGAATTACGGCAGAGGCAGCCATCGAAATGCCCACGGCAGGCTACGAATTGCTTCAAAGTTCCCTCTAAGAATACAAAAGCATTTCCTAACCTCCGTGTCTCCTTTTCGATGTCAAAGTTCACCCATTTCTTTCTGTTCTGCAGGAAACTGTGCTCATTTTCACAAAGGCGGCTGGTGGTACAACGCATGTGCCCACTCCAACCTTAACGGGGTGTGGTACAGAGGAGGCCACTACAGGAGCAAGTATCAGGACGGGATATTTTGGGCTGAGTACCGGGGAGGTTCCTACTCCTTGAAAGCAGTTCAAATGATGATCAGACCTATAGACTGAGGAGGAAAACCCCACAGTGCTCAAGTCATTGCATATAAACTTCTCCGTGCTTCAGTTCCAGAAAAATAAAGTATTTCTTTTTCAATCATTAATTTGCACAATCTGCTCCTGCAAAAAGCAGGGCTACAGTTCTCCTGTCTTTTTTTTTCCCCCCTGTCGCGTTCCCCTCTCTTTTTTCTTAGAAACCTTTTCTACTGTGACAGTGTTTTCTCAAACACACATACACAAAAGCAGATGTTTGTGCTTGCAGAGCATATTTATCTTTGTTCAAGTCCAAGATACTTTAAACAGTCATTAAAGCTGGCAAAAAGTTCCAGATAATGACAAGATACAAGCTTTTTTCACTCAACGCTTAAATGTAAATATGTGAAATGACACTGTCTTGCTTTAATGTGAAAATTGATTAGTTATTTAACAATTTATTTTAAAATGTTGCCATTGCTTGCAATGAAAATCTGACTTCACGTTCCTGTTTAAGATTTACTCCAAGTAGCTACACAAAAAATTTAAGACATTCTAGCTTTGCCAGCAGAGAGAGGTTTTTGCAACAAATAATTATTTCAAAATGAAGTGGTGAATGAAGCATAAACTATAAAGTTTCTTAGTGGTGTAGAGAATTCCTTAAGATCTGCAGACCCTACCTTCTGTAGAACGCTCAGGCAAAATGTTCCTAACAGAAGAAAAATAATTGTATGATATTATTGATAAACTTAAGACAACCAAATTACTCAGTAGTTCTTTTGCTTTCAAGCTCCGTATTCAGACATTCTAATTACACAAAAAATATTTCCTGATACTTAAATGGCAAAACAAAAAGTCCTGATATTAAAATCCTGACTAATATTTGGAGATTCCTCCTCTGCTCCAATTAAGAGTGATGAGGTCTGAGCAAGTGTTCACAGATACTAATCTAGAAAAGGAATATTCTGAATATCCTAAGTCTTCCTCCAGCACAGCTTTCTGTTGACATGGTAAAACGAAGATTAGAAATCAGCTCTTGGCGTATTCTCCCTGCCACCCCAGACTTGAACTGCTTTCATGACTTACACATTTCCCTTCCACTACATCTATACAGCTCTTGATACTGTCTACACTAGATTTTGTACCTTCTAGATATCAGATTTCCACTGGAATTAATATGTTATCTAAGAAATCAATCAGACAAAAACACCTTTAACAAAAGCCATACAACATACTGCATCAAAACAAAATACCTGCAAAGCGGAAGCAACAAAACTTTTGCTTTAGGTACCAGTCTCCAAAATTAAAGCTTTCTTCCTAGTATATAAAATTATTTAACAATTGTATTTAGCCACATAGCTTACCTAATTTAATTTGGTATTACACGAAAAACTAAATTTCCTGTCCTGCACTATAACTAATGTTTCTGTTCGGGACCTCATATGTGCCTCCAGGATATAGAGGAACTTTGCCCCTTTTTACCGTAAGAAACCCCAATAGCTAAATATTACTGTTATGTTTAATTAGTCAATATCAACTGCTATGTAAAATCTCATTTGTAATTTCGAGGAGAAAAAAAAAAAACATTCTGCTTTCAAAACACGTTCTATGGAGTAGATAAAAGTTTCATTGATAATATATTGCTGTAAGGGTTGTAGTTAAATCATTGGTCAGAGATCAAAGCCAACAAGTTTCAACAATATTTAATTGTGGTTGGCATATTCCATTGCCACATTCCAAGAATTGTAACTGAAACAAATGTTTAAGCTTACAATTCTGAAATTGTTCTTCATATAAGGAATATTTGTTTGTTACAAATATCACACAGGCCTCATCAACCGAGTGTTCTATAAAATGCTTTTTAATTGCAAACACTTAAAATTCAGACTATTTGTTCTTTTTCTCTGTGGTAGCTGGATAGAAGAGCAGTTCAGGTAAATTTAAAAGCTGAAAATACCCTCCAAAATGTTCCTTGAATGAACACTTCTGACAGCTTTAGTTCATTCGGCTGAGAGATTTCCTCTCCTCAGAACAGATCTCATTTTACCACACAAATCTCTTGCCTGCTACAAAATCAGCGTTTGTTTAGTCAGTGCAGTCAGTGAAAAGTGGACTTTGCGAAAACCCCCAAGTAAAATTAGCTTGCACTCAGCCTTTAAATTAAATCTTATGTATTCGACATCTAAAAAGCGAGTCTTCTCCAATTTAAAACTGCAGGGTGATGTTAACTAAACATTATTACAAAATATACCCAAGGAAAGCTCAGACTGTACAAATGCTCTAAAAGGAAAGACTTAATTTTAAGTTATCTGTTGAAGATTACAAGGAAGGAAAGCATAACATCTCTTTTTGAGGCTGGTTCATGCTCTCTACACCAATTTACTACTTTCAAAGGCTTGTAACTCTTAACACTTCTTAGCTTTTGGGATGATTTTTCTAAGCAAGGCTAATGACTTAGAAGTTCAATGGTTTTTCTCACTTTTTTTTTAATAATAGTTTTTCAAAAGATGATGTAGCGTCCCTTGAGCTTATTGCACTGGACATTCAGAAGCAGTCCATCTGCACAGCTTCCACCACTCCTGTACCATCAGTCCAGATTTTACCAAGTAAAAAAAGTCTAACCTGTACTAAACCCAAAATTCGGTTTCCACAGGCATTTCCAAAGTCTACTGAAGCATTATCACTGAAGTAGCTGAATATTCATCACATGAATACTCAATAGCCTGTTTTCAGCTTTTCTGTTTCTGGATATAATTCCTGAAAGACAGCTATAAGAAAATATTCCACAAGCTAGCACTGCTTAGTTAAATAAAAATCTTACTTCTCAAGATATGGCTCAGTTATTTCATTGTGCAATCTCAAATCAATCAGAATTCGATTACAAGGCTCTTTCTGAGAATGAGTTTTTATTCTAAGGTGAACCATTACATCACATACACAGTTCCCATTTGCTTTGGCTATTTTAGTTGCCCAGGTGATGTAAGTGATGACATATCCCACATCATGCACTGAGGACCTATCACTGAACATTTTTGTCGGTACTGCATGGCTCTCGGCGCTCGCATTTAAGTTAGTGAGTTCCCACTGATGGTGTGCTGCTCTCACTTGCATTGCTAGAACTCTGGAATCACACCACACTGCTGCAGGGAATTGAAAAATAGTGTTATTCTTCTCCTCCTAGTCAACTGTGGAAGGACATCTTTATCTCGTCGACAGAGAGTGAGCTGCGGTAACAAGAACACGATCTGTACTTCCTTGGCTCCATTCCCATTGCAAAGACTACACACGCACCAAAAAAAAAAAAAAAAAAGGGCATTTAAAATTTATCCTATAATGCTGAAACGGTCACAAAAAAACAATTCACGCTCACACTTGATATTTGCTTGCGTAAGGGTAAACTTAGTAACCTCTGAAGGGCAAAGCACTCATCCTTGAAATCGCAGCTGAAATTCCTTTAGATGCTCACTGTCCCTGTGACCTTCCAAAGCAGGGGCCTTCACAACCAGGGCCGATACTTCTCCAGTGGGGATTTGCAAGATCAAATGCCATTGTGTGGCAGGCTTGACTCTCCACACTCTTCCAAAGAGCATTTTAGGGTAGCACGGCAACTTCCGCACCGACAGTGAAGAAATCCACCCCCGTACTCCTCCTTCTTCTGTGAGAGGGAAGGGACGTTATGATTAATCCTCCTCCATGGCACAAGCCATAATCACAATTTCAAGCTGCAGACTTTTGGGTAGACTTTTCTACACGTTTTAAAATGGGAGCAGAACTACTCACACACGCAATTTTATGCCAGAAGCAATATCAGAAAGAGATTCTTTTCAGGAATTATAACCTATAGCTGGTAAACCAAACAACTGAAGTTACTTGTGATCCATACAACTCTTACACTAAGTAAAAATGCCTTGGGAAGGAAATTTCAGAAATAATACTCCTGCATATCTACTCAGGTCTTACTAGAGATTAAAGCTTTGATCAAATGAGAAGAACTGGACCCAACAGCCAATCTTCCAGGACAGATTCAGATTTACCAGGATTGTAGTTTCAGGGCAATTCTATTCTTTTTTGCCACTTATTTAAACCTTACAAAATTAATTTTAGAGGGAGCATGCTAGCGGGCATTTTGCTATTCCTTTGGAGAATTAGAAAAGGCAGATTACTTTCTTCATGTCGTTAGTAAGAACAGATAGCAAATGAAATCAGGTCACAACACATTCTTTATCTAGAGTGGGTTAAAGCAAACTGTATTTCCTTCTGAGCAGAAAAGAAATACACATTTCACACTGCATTACGCTTGGCTTCTTTTTTGCTCCTTGTGTTCAGGCCTAATTTGAACAGCTATGTCGAACGAGCAGGGTAGCATGTGCTAGTGTGCCACACCAGCAATTTCATCCCTGTGCTTCAGACAAAATACATTCATGCTGATTCTTGCATTCTAAGCACAGTTACCAACGTCTGAATACTTGAAAAAATACATGAAGTAAACAGCTGCCAAGATCATGTTGGAACTGATGGATGTTCCTGAGAGGGATGTAACAGGGAAGCCAAAAATGACGACAGAAAGAGCAACTTTATAGGACTACTTCTCATTAAGATTATTACAGGTTCTCCACAGCAAAGTATCGTTTTTCTATTTAAGTATAAAGCATTTAAAATTCAGCCAATTTTGCAAAACCCGAGTATACATATTTTAGAGGCATTGTTCTGAATTCTAACGTCACTGATGGCGCTGTCACACATATCAAGCTACAAAGCAACTGATGTAATATTGTGATAGACACACAGATCACAGCATAAAGACGACTGTTAAGTCATTAATTTTGAAAAAGTTAATAGCCTAGCAGAGTAAAGAAAGTAACAAACTTTAGGAACAAAGACATTACTGTTTAAAAAGCCTCAGTGACCACAGGAGGTCATCTTGGATTTTGGTCTAAAAGCAACTTGTATCTGCAAAACTACCAACTGTGTTTTCTGGAAAAGGAAAAAATTGGGCAAACGTTTCCTTAATTTTATGTGACTGCTGACATTATACCAAAGAAAAACTATATTAGAAAAAAGCACACTGAACACTTTAAAACAAACTAAACTGAGATATTAAGTAACACTAGATTAGCTTGCTAACAAAAGTGTGCATAATAAACTTCCTTACGTAGTTTTCAGATACACCTGCGTATCATTTACTCATAATTATTCCATAAAGCTGAGTCAGTCATAACAACTCAGTCTCTCCTGTCACCTTAGAATCATTAAATGCAGCAATAACTCCAGATTTTAGCATGCTCCCACCTACATTTATTTATGTCAGAGGTCAGTGATTTATAGCTTCTCATAAATGAAAAGCCATCACTACTGTAAGTCAAGTACTCAGCTCTATGAGTCTAGCAGGTGTAACAATTTAGAGCACTTCTCCGGAAGTCAATCAGTGTAGCTATGCAACATGTGGGAAAATAATTTCCTAGAAAGCTGATGCAGTATGTTAAGTCTGTGACATTTAGTAGATTCTTTCTTTCTGAAGCTACTGAAGTTATTTCTTGCCATATACAGAGTATTCAGAACCAATCAGCAGCTATAGAGTCTTCACTGAAGTATTTAAATAGTTTCACGAATGCTTAAAAGATGGTGTTTAGCTTGTGTAATTAGTGGAGAAGCGTTTTTGACGTTAGCGTATCCAACTAGAAATACTTCAACTTACCTAAATAGGGAATACAAGGAGTCATCTTCAAGCTGCTGATATAATCTCTAAGCCTTTTGTAATTATCTTCTTTACTCATAACATACTCCAACTTTTCAAAGGTGGCTTTATCTTTCCGACTCAACAGCTAGGGAAAAAAAAGTAATTAAAAAACATAAAAAAGGCAAAACTAGGTGAGTTTGATCATTACGATCTCTCTCTTACCCTTAAAAGCATGGTTTTTAACCTCCGCCCCCACACTGTTACTGGCTTTTTTTTTTTTTAAGTACAACTGCTTCAAAATTACAACATTTCCTCCTTAGAGATGAGTACTTTAAGGGCTTACAAAGAAAAGAAGCTATTTTGGCTGTTAAATTTAAACTATCCTTTTAAAACTAAGTAGAACTTTGGTGTCCTGAAATAACGTAAATTATCAAAAGACTAGGTAACACACAACACAATTTCATGTGCTGTCCACATCTACAGTATCTCAAACGAGTTCTCAAATCAATTTATTCACTCTGATTATGGATAAAGCTAACATTTCTTTGCCAGATACACTCAGAAATTTTACACTAATCCAGCTTCAGATAAACCCAAATTCCAAAACATGTTCTTATTCTTGATTTGAGAGCCTCTCAACAAATAAGTTTTCTAAAGAGCAAACCAGTACTATTAAAATCTGATAAATACCTTAAACTAAATGACAATATTAAAAACAAAAAATGGAGATATACTCATATACTTGAAGGTCTAGGTAAGAGTAAGGATTTCATCCATTTCTCTTTACAGAAGACATGAATATAGGTTGTGTATATTGTTCTGCCAACCAGCAATTTTACTGGCTCTTGGTATTACAGGAATGACCACATCAAATACAAAAAATTAAGAGTCATGGATCTCCTCCATTGTCCATTTCTTCTCCCACTGGGCCCTTCTTTACAGAATTAACAGCAACTAGGCTCTCTTTGTAAGACTAGGAAAGTAAACTAAGATACTTTCAAAACATCTAGCTGAACTACTGCTGCAAAGCCACCTTCAGGGATTCATATCAATTCAGTCAGAATCAGAAGGGTGTCAGAAGTCCTCACTGAACATTTTGGCTGAAGACTCAGTGTCCTAGTGCAAAAATTACACAGGTTGGATCACTAAAATTTTACGCATATTCCCTCTTCTTTTTCAGTTAAAGATCAGCCTATGGGAACATGACAGAATTGAAGTGTCCCTTCTTTAAATTCAGTATTGAAGTAACAGCTTTTTAATGTACATTGTCTATATTCTAGTCTTCATTAGGATAGCTAGCCCAACACCAAACTAAATGCTGCCTTTCACAACAAAGTCACTTTTTAAGTGATTTCTTTCACAAGACATACTGATCTCTGACATGCCAGCAATTAATTTACATCTTTGGCTTTAGTTCCAATGTTAGAATAAACAGCATCTCATGTTCATTAAAACTGCCAATTTCAGGACAAGGAAACAGCAGACAGGCATGACTTCTTTCCAGCCACCGGAACACAACACTTATCTTCTGAAGTTTATCTCCTCAAAGACAGTTTCAATTTAATAAGCCTAAATTAGCTTGCCTTCAATAACACGCTAAAATAATCTGTCATTATTCAGTGTCTGAAAGACTTCTGTAGTTTTGCAGACTGGAAGGTAAGACAGGTCTAACAGGTACAGTAATGGCCTAAATTCATACTTGAATGAAATTAATTGTATTTTTCTCCCCCCAAAAATGCTGATTTGTACAATCTTCTTCTAGTCTCATATATCATTTCGAGATCTTTGAACAAACTCTGAACAAATTGATCCTGTATGACTTTCCCTTGGGCTCACCATGCAATTCACATCATGCTTGCATCAGTATAGGAAAGTAAAGAGAAGTCGGCAACAATAAAAATGTTTCTGTGAGAGCAAGTAAGGACCCAGCTGTTATTTCTTCAGTTTCAAGAGCTGCTTCTTTTTTCTAAATTATTTTTCTTCCTTCGTCTGTTAGGCTCAAAGGATGCAGAGAACAGTAAAGATATGCACATATGCAGAGACAATAAAAGCTACAGGGAGCTTTTGGAGCCTTCCAGGCTGCTCTTTGCTTTGTAACGATGGTGTGCCTGCACTGAAGACAATTTTTTTTAAAATGCAAGAAAGGAGAGACAAGGTTTCAGGGTGCTGGCAGAGCAGAGCAGGATTCACTCGCCTAATGATTATTTGCTTCTATTACCAAAGTCGTGGCTGGTCATCTAGATTTACTTTGCATTAAATGGAGAGAAGTAGAATAATACATTCAATGATTTTTCTTGAAGAGGTTTGTAATTCTGTTCAAGTTCTGAACAGGGCAAACCACATATCAGAAGCATTTATTATTCTCCAGAGTTCAGAGGGTGTGCAGGCAATGAGCGAGACAAATTTCAGACATATCGTCAGACGACACGAATTTCATCTTTTTTAGGAACATTAGATCGCCAAGCAAATATTTAACGGCTCCTTTCAACTCTAGATTCCAACTATACAAAGTAACTCTTTTTTTCTTTTGAAAAGGTTGCTTCAAATGGTTGCTACAAACCTCTCTGAAATGGAGAAGATAACCATCCTTATTGAAGGTTTCAGAAGGTTACTCAAATAATGGCTTGGTGTGCCTTTTCACATGTCTTCTCTTGGTTTTAATACAGAGAAAGTCAAAGGCCTAGAATTACTTCAAGAACTTATAAACCGAACTTCCAAGTGAAAGACAACTGTATCAGCTTGCAGTGCACACTGCTAGGAGCTATCCCAGGGGCTATTTGCAAAGGCTTACATAAAATGCCAAAAAGCATAGATTCACTTGGAATTGTGTGAAAAACTGAACACCTGGTATTTAAGAGGCTGGAAAGGAACTGTCAACAGCACACAAAAAAGTCCCTGTAAACGCAAACTAGAACTTCTGGGCAGGAAAAGAAACTGGAGACTCCCAGTTCTGAATGGCATAAGCATGGTAGGAATCAAAATGGTTATTTTAATATATGGCTAGAGTTGACATTTGTTTTGAGTTATGCAAAAACAAATAAATTAAAAAAATAATCAATTTGGTATCACAGTTATGTCAAACTGTTGAGTCATCAATTTATCAATGTGACAAACCAGAAAAACAGTAGTTCTCCTTCGGATCATTTTGAAGCATTAACTTCATAAAGATTTCCTTAAAAAGATTTTTGGTATTTTGAAATAACGTCTTAATTGTGCATCTGCAAAATATGCCCAAAATTCTATATTAGTACATCACCATGAGTGAACTATATTTAATTTTGGTAACATCTATCAACTGAACAACATTATCATTCAGTTATGAAACAAAAGAAACTCCTTTTGTAACGTGAGGATGTGTTGAGATGTCTTCAGTGAAAGTTTTAACTGTTTGTAATGATATATTTATGCTGATCCCTAGCACAGATTATTTCAGTCACCTGATTGCTTCTACCACACTTGACAATGTCACAGTTCATCTCTTTATACAGCTGGGTAACAACACAACGTATGGCTGAATCAAGTAGTGTTCTCTCAGCTCTGAGGTATCAATGAGCAAGAGTCACTCCTAACGTTCTTTCGACCAAGGATACAACTCGATAAGAATATTATTAATTCCAGTTAAAAAAAAAACAAAACAAAACAGATGTCAAATAAAATTTTTTTCCAAATAATGCCATTCTTTCATTACTGTACAAAACAGGCCTGCAAATATACCGTGTAATGCAATTGTTATAATTATGGAAATAATTCTAAAAACTCTTGCGGAAAATTGCTAGATTTAGTTATCAGTCAGAGAAACTATGGAAACTGAATCAAGAGTTTCTGGACATCTGATCTCCATAGCAAAAAAAATTCCAACAGTATAAACCCCTAAATGATTAAAGTATGACCCACTTTGGCAATCCTAATTTTCCAGGCAACTAAATACAAAACAGCTTCTGGCCAAATCAAAAGCCTCTACATTTCACAGAATCTGCAGGGAACTATTTTTCAAAGGAAAATATTTCTATGCCAGAATGGAAAAAAAAAAATTCAAAAGGAAATCATACACTTAAGAGGCCATAGAAGCATGCACGTGGTACAAGAATATTAAAAGTATCTGTCCTAATTGTTGCACCCATGAAAAGAAGCTATAGAATGTTCTGTTTTCCTCAGAATAAGTTGAAACCCCTCCAGCGTCCTGCCGCTCACTTACCGCCCATGTTTTAGTCAGCCTGAAGATCGGAGCACTCTGTAGGCCTGATACAACTGCCATGAGAGCGTGCAGATTATTCAGCTCGTACAGTTTCTGGGGACAAAAACACATTCTAAGCATCATCAATAAGGAGCACAGAACAAATAATGTACAAATGAAGAAATCTTGCATGTACTAAAACAGACAGTTACAGAGAACTGCTGTGCACCCATACCACTTGTGTGGCGTCTCCTAAAATTTATCATTACGGCATCTATACAGTTTTGGATGCTAGCTATTTCATAGTCCACAGAAAACCTTTAATAAAATAAAAATCGTACATCTTGGGACATGTATCAGATGTGGCAGAAATCGCTTTCATAGCATTCAACAGTTTTTTAAGACTTCCCATGTCAAAAAGGCTAACTGAGTTTTGAATGACGTAATCGTGGTAGTACTTAATACTATAAATGCATCCTTCCTTTCCAATAGCAAAAGCAAACAAGCTATTTCTGTTCTGACTCACACCGCTTGAGACGATTCTACACACAGTGTTTTCATTTAACTAACACTGGAACGCACATCTAGTACAAGATAAACAATATTTGAAGTAAGTTTCTCTGTGTTTCCTTAACTGAACTATTTTTTTTTCTAAAGAAAGGCTTGCGTTTCAGAACTTTACCCTGTCACTATTTCTGACAACTTTGTTAAACGCAGAAGGCAAACAGCTATTCATGTCAACAGATACAATTACAGCTAAATCAGGTATCAGATAAATATTTACCTACGGGTATTTCTGAACTAACCAACTTAAAAGTAAGAATTTTCATCATGGTGAATCCCACAGAACCCCCACTCACACCATTCGAATTCTCACCTTTGCAGTTTTAATGTAGTGGCTTAAAACCTCAGCTCTTATTTTTAAAGTTTGTGCATGTAGAATCTCTCTGACAACCCAGAAGCTTACCTAAAGAGAAGAAAATTTGCCTTTTTAAAATCCAGAGCTTCCACCTTATATTTTTCATATTTTTATTTCATGAGCAATACATTAAAATTCTCACAGCTTTCAACTTCCATCTATAAAGGCGAATACATATTACAAGATGCCAATGCTTATAGTGTAAAATCCCAACCAATATAGCCGATATATTAACAAAAAACCTTCTTCAAAGTGTTTCGGCTCTGTTGTTCTGCTCCTTCTTGTCCAAGATACCTTCTGCCATTACATGGTCAAGTGGTGTCTTAAATCCAATTAATAAATCCAACTCAAGTTTAGAATTGAATCTTTTATCTTGTTACTCTCTTCATCTTCCTCATTTCTTAACTAGCAGCCATTCACCCCAGTATGTTATCAGAGAGCGTGTGTTCCGCTACCTGCTTTTCTCAGTGAGCGCGGGTGGGTGGCTACAATTTGTCTATGTCACACCAGTTAGTTGTGTACAAAGACAGTGGGATCTATTTTTCTAACAAGGAAAACTCTTCTGCCACCAGTACATCTCAAAAAATCCCAACAGAATTAGTTATGTGCAATCTATGCAGACAGACTTGTTTTCAGGCTAAGTTTTGAGGACAGACATAAAGTAAATGACTAACACTTCAAACAAAGTGCTCCCAGGAAAATAAAATCATGACTGAATTTTATTAATAGAGCCTACAAAATGAAGGAATATAAAGACTAAAACTGAATTATTTTCTTTTGTTTTTCTCTTCTATAGCTTCAAAGTTACACTATCCAATGCTCACACTAGTTAACAGCTTCAACTACAGTTCACCGACAACTCCAAATTCCCAGTACCTCTGAAGAAAAATAATAATTGGAGCAATATCACCTGAACAAATGGTAGGAAGCCTCTGCCGTAACCTAGAGTTTATAGTCTGTACTCTTCCCACTGGCTATGTTGATCACCCGCTAATATACAGCACGCTACCATAGTCATTTGCTAACTTCTACAGGACTAACTTCACTGCTGTATAAAAATTGCTATTATATTCATTATGCTATGAAGGGTGGTTGGTGCATTTCACAGTTACAAAAATGTCTCAGAAAGCTACACTTTGAAAACGCTTTGTGAACATATCTAAATTCTAATCTTTTCTCTCCTCTGCTCCCTCCACACCCTCTGCTCTCACATACTTTAGCACAATGATCGAAAATAAGCACCTTCATAACTGTAATAAAACAGCAGCAAAGAATTAGCAAATGGTAACAAATGCTGGAACTTTTATTGATGTATGTCCTACAAGTTAGGAAAAAATGAACCATTAGCAAGAAACAGCACGACTACTATTTATAATGTGACTGAAAATGGGGCACAAAGAAATATATGTTCTCATACATCAATATATTTCAACCTGTCATGCTGCTTTGATTTTTAAGACTGATGCTAAACTACTTCTTGTAAACTAACACTGTGGATGTACTCAAGTTCCTGCCACAAATTTCAAATTAAAAAAAAATGAAATATCCCGTTTGTCCCATTTTATTTTGCATAGTGTCTCAGCTCTTTATACGGAACAGCATGAGAAGATCCCAACCTTCAAAATTATTATATTTTCAGTGAAGTTACAGTGATCTAATGAGAACTGGGATGTCAAAACACAGCAGCTCTTTGAAACCGGAAAATGGAAGAATTACAACAAACCCACGAAAAAAACCCACAAACATCTTGCATAACAGCTGCTTTCCTTCAGTATGTTTGTCTAAGGCTGTAGTAGCCAGGAAAGAATTAGCTATGGTGCTCAGTTTTCTTTTTCCTTTTTTTCTCTTGTTTTTTTTTAAAGTAACAAAGTATCTCCAGATAAATATTACCCTGACAAATATAAAAAATTATTCTGTGCAAACAGCGTTACTATAATATACGTAAGTTCTGAATGCATAAAAATAGTATTTAACAGTACTTCAAAATACTGTCAAAAAGAGATAAACCTCAGCTTGATGTTCTGCTGTAATTACACAGCTTGAGAAAACCAACTTTTCCCTTGACTGACAAGCAAGTTTCTAAGGAGATGCTCTCCCTTTGAAGATCAAGGGAAGTTAAATTTTTAACATAGATTTTCATAGCATAAAGACTCAGGTAGAGGTAACACACATACTTAAAATCCCAAGTTAATCCCAAATTGTTCTCTAGTTAACAGAGCATTGATATAATAGGAGATTGCCCACAGTAGGCCAGACTATGAAACACTTGCTCAAAATACAGAACAATGCTCAATAGTTTTCATAAGGACAAAAAAAAGGAATTATGTTGGCCCTGGCTTCTATCAAAGTTCATCAGTATACGAGTGACATAAGCACTGTGCTGCACAAGCACTCTTGTTTACCCAAGCAAGTTCAATTTCCACCCCAGTCCCAGCCAGACACAGCCTCAACGCTGCCAAGCTCTTGCAGGAAAAACAAACCCAAACAAAATGCAGCATTTTCTTTGAAGGTTAGAGCCACCCGGTCCCTTCAGTGACCGGAAAAGTAGGAGATAAAGAATTCAACACACTGAATCATTTCCACCCCAGCCACCTCCACTCCTCTTCTACGTGCTTCACTGGCGTTGACAGGGTTTTGGCTGGTCTTGTCTGTTCGCTGTTGTCTTTAGACAGCACCATAATCTGACATATTCCAAATACTGAAGAATAAGCAATTTAAGTCCACCCTTTTGTTTAAATAGGCCACCTTCTTGTTTCATCCAGGTTTGTTGGTTTAGCAAGTAGACAAACAATTCTGCACTCTGCCACACTAACAACACTACTATGGAAGTATAAAACTAACTCTGAGAAACTAAAAAGCGCAGATTTCTGAGTTTTTGAAAGAAATTACATAAACAAATTCTGTATTTTAAAACAGTACTTAACAGTAGATGTAGAGATCTATGGGGTACCATGTAGCAATGTATTCTTCAAGAATAAAAGACTCCTGGCATGGAATGATTTGATTGATTTCTATTCCCTGAACTCAATCTGTTTTTACAGGCACCACATATAATTATCCCATAATGAATGCGGGAAATACACTACTTCACCCTCCGTGGACTGCAATCAACTGCACATCATCATTACGGTTTCCAAAACGCTATCAGCCGATCAATTTGCTGTGAAGCAGCCGTTAGTGATTCAATATTCTCTTTACTTACAAAGCGAGAGCTGTTCATGGCTGTCTTTTGGCAAGTTGGAGGAAAGAGGAAAGAGACAGATGGGCAACACATAATTTAAACCTAGTGAAATTTCAAAGGTTAACAAAAGTTTGATGAAGCATACTCATGACTGATAAACCCAGAAGTCGCAATGATTTTCCTGATTACTTAATTTTAGGACAAAGCATTAGAAACCCTCTGGGAAAGTGGGGCAGGTGACCAACAGGAATTACACCCTGCTCAGCAGGCACCTGGGATAGAACTGAATATCAAGAACGAGAACCAAGCAAGGAAGACGAAAACTGCTTACTCCACCACGTCTTCTTATCCCCAGCTTCTCCACCCATAGGAACTCTTGAGTTTCACTGCTCCTGAAAGGATGGTGAAACTAAATTATGACATCTCTATTGCAAGGAATGAATGAGTCCTCTGCAATGACATGTTTGGAACAGCAGGACCATGCCACATCAAATATTATCAAAAGTACCATCTCAGTAATTCAAAATTTGAGGAACGAACACAAACAGGAACCTGTAACTGAAATGATACTTGCCCCTTTTCCCTCCCCCCTCCAGACTCACTACAAGAAATAAGACTGCTGATTTCCCTCAGCGCCAGAATAAAGGCTGATGTAAACTTCTTGGAAGAGCTTCTTGCAGACGCTACCATCCTCACCACCACAGCTGCCTGCGGCAGTTTCTCAGAAAATTGGTTAGAGGCAACCTAAGCCACCACCTGAGCAGATGTTAAGAAGCTGAATGACCTTCTATCACCTATCCTTTGACTCTTCAAGGCAGAGTTTCTTCTACAGGCTACTACGACCCCTACATTAATGCTTTTCAATTGACACCTTAAAGAGAGTAAGAAACAATCAAGAAAAACAATGGGAAAGATGACCTAGAAATGCCTCCAAATCTCTTGGCTTTAAACACAGCCCTCAAAACAGTCTAAGCACTGCAACATCCAAACTTGATGGTGCTGCCAAAGTGAAAAACCAAGAGTAGCTACTTGTCCTGCTCCAGCTGATTTAATGCTGAAATGCAATGGGTCCAAGTACTTACTGGCTGCCTGTTAAAAAAAAAAAAAATCAAACCCCACCTTTTTTAATTTCTTGGGAGATAACTAATGGAATAGAGCCTCAAACTGGCTTCTTGATTGCACTGGTGACTTCACAAAACACATTGACACAACAAGGACACGATCTAGACTTCACCATTGTTCTTGTTTCAGGGGTATGCCAAGGAACAATTCAGATTACTGGCAATGCATTTCTTTTAGACACCAAAAGCAGCAATAACAGGCATTTAAGTAAAGGAATCTTCTGTAGCAGCCAATGCGACATCTGAAATACTGTATGAAAATGAAAGCCAGGGACAGATCCTGTCAGATGGATAGGTTGTCATAGGAGCTTAAAGGTGACAGAAAATTAAATTTTCAGCATATTAATAATGCTCATAAGAAACCATAAACAGACATATTCTCAGTGAAGGAACCCGTCAGCTGACACAGGCAAATCCAACTTGCATGGCTGTAGAGAAAATACGCAAATGGCTTTTTAGCACAAACTTAAACTTTACGACAAGAAAATTCACAGCTACATTTGTGTACGTACCACTAAGTAGAATGTCAGTACACTGACAACCAAAGAGACCCACAGATCACCTGCCATGGCATCAGTCTTAAAGCTCTTATATTGTTTGCAGGTTTATTGCTTTCCTGGCATTCCCCAAAAATAAGCTACAGAAAGGGAGAGCTTATAAGTAAGTCTTAGTCCATTTCTGAATGAATTATTTCGAGCAAGGCTTTCAGTTGCAGAACTAAAGGGAACGGAGCAGGGAGAGAAACAGAACAAGAAATTCTACCGACTGGCTTTAGGCACTTGTCAGAGTGCTGCATTTTATTCAAGGTTCTCCTTTACCATTCAGAAAAAATTTAAACAGCGATGTAGGACTTTCCATCCATCAAAACACACTGAACAAGCTCAAAGACATGACAGATCTTTAAGAGTCACTCAGTTTTATCATTTCTTTCAGATTGACCTCTCTTCAAACCAAAAGCAGTAGTTCCTTGAAACCAATGAAGAATAGTAGAAAAGGGAAATTAAGATAGATGTAGCCAGTGACTATCAACAACCATTTAATATGCACTTGAGCATAATGAAACTATGTAGGGTTCCCTTTAGCAGCCAGCAATGCTTTTCAGGGAAACAGGACCACCAGCTATGATGAAGAAATGCATTACTACGAAGGCAGGTATTTCTAGTATCATCTTCTTATCACATGCATAAACCCAGTTTTGTATGGACTTCTATAAAAACTAGGACTGAGCTAAATCGAGAATATCACCCATCAATTAATCATCCAGTCAACAGATTTGATAAATATTCCACAGAGTAAAATACAGAAAAATCTAAAAGGGTCACAAAACCAAGAAGTCACTAGCATGAATAAGAAGTGGAAGCCTAAGACAGGTTTACAATAATAAACTAAGGGGATTTTGCTGGCATGATAGCATTCTTATCTATGAATCTAAATATCATATTTCTAAGTCTTCTAAACACTATTTAACAACACTATTAGCATTTTAGCAATATTTAAGATCTTTAACAGCTACTTTTCAAGTACAGGCATCCAGTCAGCATTTGTAGAGTAAAGTTGTTTAGAATTTTCAAATTTTGCCCAGAATCAACTTTAAAAGTTAACCACACTGACAAAAGGATCATTATTTCTAGGGACTAAATCACCTATGTGGAGTAAAAGATACTCAACTAACACAGAAAGAAATTACATCCAATTACTGCTCCAGAAATCCTGTATCACAACCCTTTAACTTGTAATGATGACTCTGACTTTATGTAAAGGACAGCCAGCATTTATGGGGAAAAATAAACACAAAAAAGAAAAAAAACAACAACAAAAAAGCAACAAAAAAAACCAAAACCCCCTCTCCTAACAACAAAAAAACCCCAACAACAACAAAAAAACAACAAAAGCACAACAAAAAATAACAAGCAATATTTTCCTGTTTCATCAATAGCTTCTATTTAAAATAAACCACAGCTATTTCTTCAGTACTGTTTTGGTCTTTCTGTATATCCTGAAGACAAGGAACTTGCTATAGTAGGTACTTTGAGTATTCAAGTTGCCAGCTGTGATCAGTAATAAAAGTGATGTGCCAGAACACTTAATACCTCAGATTTTTTAACTGTGCACATGTAATGACACTGGAAAAAAGTAACTCACATGATTGAATCTTCTGGTGAAAGCAACAGCATTTGGTGCAGAACTGTATTTCTCTTTTTTATTCCAGCCACAGCTTGCCAGCTCCTGGGAGAACAAGGATGAAAAAACATTTATTTTAAAATTAGTGCATAACACATGTTCAGAACCAAGAGCATAGAAAGAGACAAATCTTTAAAGTTTTAAAATAACTTAGTAGACTAATAATGCATTGAAGTAACAAATATAGTTACACTTCTTCTGATTTCTTTTGTAAACTGAGATTCCACAAGTGTCACTTCTGATTTTTTCAAATTATTAGATTTTTTTACAACTCACCCATTGCTGAATTAGAGACCTGTTCTTTTTTTTTATTTCTGCTCTTATTAGAAACTAGTGAAATAATTCAAGATCCATTTTGTTATCACAGAAAATTCTCCTTGAAATGTGAAACTGAGCTAGGGAGAATAGCATGTTCTCTTGATTTTAAATGCTTTCTGAAGATCCTTATAATCTAGGAAGATACACCTCATTAACTCAATCTAGACATGTCCCATTGCTTTAACTTGGCATGTTGCATTTCAGAAATAACAGAATTTTTATCTCTTGCAGCAATGCCACCAGTTTAAAAGATTAAAAAAAAAAACTTGTAGTTCCTGTACTTAAATTACCCTAAAATGCGCAGGCCTCAACAATTTAACAGATTACTTGTAAAGCCTTAAAAAGCATTACTTTACAACTACAAACTTAGAACGCCTCTCAATTCTCTGTAAAACTTAAGTCAGCAGTCAGGCAACTACATCACCTTCCTTGTTACTGACTGCCACTTTATTTCAATAAAGTATTTTTAAATAAAATCACCAAAAAAAGGTGAGTGTACCAGAATGAGCTCTTCTATTCATATAAAACAGCATACGGACAGAGTAGATGTAAATACGTACAGCATGCTGCACACAATCTACTCCACAGTGCTACCAAGAAAAATAACAAGTAGGGAGACAGCTTAATTGTTGATGTGGCATCATATCAAAGCATAGCCTTTCATTTTATTTATTCATGCTTTCTTTCCAGATTTTCTACTCTGAAGCGTGCTTAGTTTGTATGACCGCATGGAAAACTCCTTACTGACACCAGAATGACCCCGTACATCCAGCTACCACGAAACACAGGTAAGACAACTCAATGTGTAACCAATGTTATGCCATTTAAGACAGTCATAGTTTAGAAGAATTTGGTATCTGGATGTTCTAAGCGCTAAAGTTTTTTTGAAGTTGTGTTGTTTTTTTATTTAGTTTGAGTTTTTGGCTTACTATTAATGAGGAACTTCTTAATGTCTTTTCAACCAAAACTACGAAACAGTCTCATGCCAGTCAAGAGAGACCTTGAGTTCTTCCACTTGTCGAAGTTCATGGCATGCTGGTATTTGTTAGAGAAGATTCTGAGGTGCTCCTGTCTGCAGGCATCAGCAAGAACACGGAGTTTCCAGCTTTGTATTCAGGGCCATTCCTTCAAGTTTCACTAGGAAGCTCTGCCACCAAGACCCGTCCTTAAAAGCAGTGGCATGATCAGCCACACATGCCCATCTCCTTATATCTGCTCTTCAAGGACTATGCACAAGACAACGCACAGCCCTGAGCTGTTCCTGTTGCAAAGGAGCGCGGGTGATCGGAGAAGGAAGCCATCCAAGAAACTTTTATTTACTCTTAGCCCCCAGCATCTCCCAGTGCTGCCATTTCCACTGGAATGACAGTCACAGCTCTGCACTTGGGAGAACACGAGGTGATTTATCCTTACTGGCATCTGACGATTATACTTCCTTAGCAGGAAAAAAAAGAAAAAAAAAAAAAAGGAGTTGCCAGTTTAGAGAAAGTATGGTAATTTCTTACTAATTCAGGTCATGTCCTTGTACTACTACAGTTCTCATCACCAAGTTAAAAAACCCCAAACCAGTGATGATTCCAGACAGGAGATACCCATTGCCACAGCACTTCACATCTAAGGGCTTACATTAAAAGACAACAAACTCAAGGTACAGGAGGTACAAGTTGTTGTCAACAACTCCTATACTTGCTGCGTGGGAACTCTAGCACACACATGAACCCATGATACCTGTAGTAAATTTGAATATAGATAGAAAGAATTATATCGATTTGTGACAGATACAGGCAAAAGGCCACAGAAGTATAAGTGTGCACTAGGAGTGCATTCATTGATTTTGATGCTAAAGGAAAAATTAACATATATTGCTGTAAAAAGTGTTATCCAGCATTGATTTTTGTTAATAGAAATTAGGTAAAGTTCTGATGTTGCTTTCCAAAAAAAACAAAAAACACAACAAAAAAACCCCAAACCAACAAACCCACAACACTTTAAGAAAAGAGGTTAACATAATGAAGGAACATGCAACACAATAATTTAGATAGTCAAAACCATATTAAATGCTAAAAACATTAATTTCATTCTACAGTGTTTGAGAAGCAGACTGAGATTCACAGCCTGTGTCCAACACATTTGTTGGTCAATTACAACGATCTATAATAACCACCTATTCTTTAAATCCTGGCATGCTAGGAAATGTGCTGCTCATCATCTGCCGTCATGCACGCAGGTAAGAGCTGTGAAATTTGATTCTGAAAAGAACATCTACCAGCACTGATAAAAAAAAAAAATCAAAACTAAAAAAAACCCACAAATTCTACCACTGTCTTTTAGTCACTCATTATAAAGCCTCAGTTTAGAAGTTCTCTAAGAGTGGGTGAAATCAGCTTAACATTGTGTTATTTTCTAATTCCAACAACGTTCTGAGTGCAGACATCAAGGTACTTATAAAGACTCGTGACTTGAATCAAGCTACAGGTGTGCCACACAGGCTGGCAGGTACTTCAAAGAAACCCACAGCACTTCATTCATCTGCTGTCAAGACACCTTAAGGCAAACTACATGTTCCACATCTGTTTTTCCCTTCTCCAAAACCAGAGGAAGGCACTTGAATTGTGTCTAGCTTCTTCTCACACGAGAGTTAATCTTTTGCACAGGGGACTAATACAATTTAAGGGCACATCAGATACAAGATGACACACCTCTATCCACCTGCAAAGGAGCGCTGATGGCCATGTAGTACTTTCACCCTGTCAGTGCAAACCCTTGAGAAGTGCCAAAGGAGCCATCATGCCTCACGGATATTTTCCAGTGAAGGTATCAAGTGATTTTTAATTAGGCATTAAGTGCAAAATTTCTGAAAAGGAATCACAGAACGTTAAGGGTTGGAAGGGACCTCAGAAGATTATCTAGTCCAGCCCCCCTGCCAGAGCAGGATCACCTACAGTAGGTCACACAGGAACGCGTCCAGACAGGTTTTGAATGTCTCCAGAGAAGGAGACTCCGGAACCTCTCTGGGCAGCCTGGGCCAGGGCTCTGCCACCCTCACAGGGAAAAAGTTTTTCCTGATGTTTTTGTGGAGTTGCTTGCATCCGTTGCCCCTTGTCCTGTCATTGGACATCCCTGAGTAGAGCCTGGGTCCGTCCTCCGGACACTCCCCCTTGACATATTTATAAACATTCATATTTATAAACATCCAAGCTGCAGAGCCCCAGCTCCTTCAGCCTTTCCTCATAAGGGAGATGTTCCATCCCTCCATTATCTGTGTGGCTGCCGCGGACTCTCTCCAGCGGTTCCCTTTCCCTCTGGAGCTCCTCTGGAGCTGAGGGGCCCAGAACTGGACACAATATTCCAGATGCAGCCACGCCAGGGCAAAGTAGAGGGGCAGGAAAACCTCTCTCGACCTACCAGCCACACCCCTACTAATACACCCCAGGAGGCCATTGGCCTTCCTGGCCACAAGGGCACAGTGCTGGCTCATGGCCATCCTGCTGCCCACCAGCACCCCCAGGTCCCTTTTCCCTAGACTGCTCTCCAACAGGTCGGTCCACAACTATACTGGCACATGGGGTTATTCCTTCCCCGATGCAAGACTCTACGCTTGCTCTTGTTGTATTTCATAAAATTTCCCCCTGCCCACCTCTCCAGCCTGTCCAGGTCTCGCTGGACGGCAGCGCAGCCTGCTGGGGCGTCAGCCACTCCTCCCAGTTCTGTGTCATCAGCAAACTTGCTGACAGTGCTCTCTGTCCCCTCATCCAGGTAGCTGGTAATTATATTGAACAGCACTGGTCCCAGTACCGATCCCTGGGGGACTCCACTAGATACAGGACTCCAACTAGACTCTGTACCTTCTAGATATATTCACCTACTTTCACATGACTTTCCTTTTAGATATGTTTCATTATTTTATTCTGGTTTTCCCGTTCATGGTTTATAGTAACAAGTTAGACCAGATAACAAAATTAAACACGCTTTCTTGCCATTTCTTCTCAACTCCCGGAGACTTTCTGTAGGTCTGCTCACACAACATAACCTGAGATACAGGAGGCTGCATTCAAAGAGCAACAAATTAGGAGGTATGGAGTTATGGCTCACTGTCACCGTACCTAACTTGCTTGCTTGCTTCCTTGTGGTTGCTACAGCTGACTGCTCATCCTGTGCAGCGCTGGGAGCAGATTGCAAAGAATAAACTGCCATCAGGCTTGAGCAGTGGAATTTCTTTATCAGCTGATGGTTAGCAAAAGCCCTAATTAGTTAAGCTGGTGTTTTGATTTTTTTTTTGATATCCAGCCCATTGAAGCTCAGGGTAATTAGAGATGAGGCACTGAATAAAAGCACCCAGAGCTTATTCAACTTAACACTCACGGCTGGGAGAACCCCACATAGCAGTAATACTTAACATCAGAAAAAGAACTACACACATATACGAGAAAAAATATTTAAGACACAGATAAAAGAGTAAAATGCTTTAAAGTTTTGGAAAAGAACTTTTTTTAAAAAAAGACATATTCTGTTAGAAGATGAGGATGAACGTATTCTGCCAATCAAAAAAACTCTGAGGATGTCCAGGAAAAAAAAAGCCAGAGAGATCAAACAGGAGGCTCTCTGAGGGATTTAAAAAACAGACAGAAAAACAACCAATCAACCAAAAAGCCCACACAAATCCACATGGGTTGGGAAAGAGCTTGCTGAAATCATGGAAGCTAAATCATGACAACGTTTTCAAGTAGAGATCGAAAGGAAGCCTTCAAAAAAATTGTGGGTACACACATGATGAAACCAATAACCAGAACTGATAGATTCATCAGGCTTCTCCACTTGAAGCAAAATATTCTTCAGCAGACTACAAGAGTGACATGACAAGCCTGTTACCAATAAAATAGCTTATGATATTTTAAAGGTGACTGATGAGCTGAAAAAACTTCCAAGGTACTCATAAAAAGGACAATAAACTGAAAAATAAACTTTCAAAAGTGTGAAATATCCCCCCACAGGAAAACGCTAATCATAGAGAAATAACGATCAATAAATCCATCATTTATTATAGCCACTACGAAGACTGTGAAAATAGCATTTCAAGTCAGGCTGCATTCAGAAAGGAATACAGCATTATGTAAAAACATCATCCATTTATTACTCCAATATATCCACAAATCATATCCATCTTGAATACAAGATGCCCTTACAGCCATTTCCCCCCCCCCCCCCCAAAAAAAGATATGAATCCAGTTAGGGAAACAAAGGACAGGATGAGGACTGCTACGAACTATCAGGAGTTGAAAATTAAAAAACATTTATGACCAGAACAGTCCAATCAAGAAACATAAAAATCTAGATACCTCACCTCCAATACTAGCTGAACATATTTAAATATCAATATTTCTACTCCAAACAAACAATAGGTTCCAGATATTTTTGTGTTATAAGATCATTTGCTTCAGAGCTATAAAAACTGGGACAGAAATTACAATTTATTGACATACATGGACTTTGCAATTCCAGAATTTATACACTGGCATAATTTTTTCATTTCATTGAAAACAAAACCAATGAACTACTCACCTCTGGCTGAATCGCTTTAAATACAGGGACATCCATTAGCGTTATCTGACCCTGCAATAAAAGAAACAGGAATCATAAGCTCAAAATTAACCTTGCACTCCATTAAGTTGCTATGCTGCCTGAGAAATATATCCATTCGGTTTCCTTTTAGTATTTGACTTATTACTTCATTTTGTAGCTAATTTTAAAGGGTTTGGCTCCTATCACAGAGCCTTCCTGCAAAACTTTACATTTAACATAATAAATTATGAGAAATTGTCAGGAGCATAATCCTGCAGTTACACATGCAAATTGGAGCTTGAGCTCAGAAACACTATCTTGACTAGGAAGAAGTAACTTTAGCTGCTCAATGTAGTTTCTCTTTGAACTTTCTCTTTGAACTCTGAAACTTAGTTTAGAAGTTACACAATTCTACTGAAACATCCCTAAAATTTTTCAATCAATACTTGAACAATATTTGAAGAACTAAGCTAAGTAATAGCTCAGTGGCACAGCAACAGGTAAAACCAATTGCAGCCATCTCACTTCCAGCACCACTAAGTACATTTTCATTCTGGGATGTCTGCTTAGTTTGAAAAGAGTAAAAGGGAAGTCACAGAGTCAAAGACCAGGTTTTGCACTTTGAAACATATTCACAGAGCCTTATTTTAAGCAGCCAGTTTAGGGTTGCTGTCTGTCTATGTATCCAAAAGGAAAAGACCATGTCTTTCAAAGACTATGCAAGGTCACCCAGAAATACCGGTGCCATCTAAGTTAGGTATCACAAATACTCTATTAGCAATGAATCCAGGGACCTTGTTTGCTTTCCTCTGATTTCAGCTGTATAGTTTTATTCCCATTTCCTTGAAAACCGTGATTCCCCCATTTATACGCTCTGCGGCACACGCTGACAGGTTTGCAACTCTCACAAATAGCAGCTGTCACTGCATGCCATTGTTACAGAATACAATAGCTTCTCACATGATGTCAACCTTGCAGAAAAAAACGAACTAGAAAGCAGGTGGAAGGGGACGCACCTGCTCTAGTGTGACAAGAAGTGATGTGTTTACCAAAGACATTCAAATTTACATTGTGCAGTGCATCCCCTTGACCTCTAGAACCGTTTTTAGATAGGAATTCTGGCAAGGAAACAGAACAATAATTACATAAATCAGTCCTAGTTTCTGTAACTGACACACTGGACACAATCGTCTGGTATTCTGCAGTACAACAAGCCCTTTACCTGTTCCCTCTGTACAAACCCTCTTGCCTGGGCTCTGCTCTAGTTGGCTGCTCCTTCTTCCAAATAAAGATGTTTTATAGCCACATTAGAGTTTTCTAATCTTGGGCTCCAGTGAGATTAAATCAGACCATTTTAAATGAATCCACACATTCACCTACAAACAAGCCAAGATATGCTCACAAATGTGCATATCTCAACATCTTTGTAGCAGTAAATTCTACACAAACTTTCATGTAAAGAAAACATTCTTGGTTCTGTAACTAACACACCAATGCTCGTATGTGGTATGAGGCTCATAATTTGCACCTATCGTTCATCAATATCCACAATCTATTTAAATGCCAGGTTAAAAATGAATCCCTGAACTATCATTTTTAAATGCAGTTTAACAATCAACCTATCAGCTGCACCATCTCAGTAGTAAAAATTATACTGTACCTTAAAAGTTTAGATGAAGTCAAGGACATCAGAAAGACATACCCACCCCACCCCCAAGTTTGTTATAAGCAGCAGTAATCAGAAAAAACGGAAATTCAGGACTATAGTAGGCCAAAATACTCTTTGCCTTCAGTGTAACTTCTCTATTTCCTTGCAGCCAGAGCAACTACAGTAAAAATATGCAACTTTGGCCAAACACAAAAGATGCCTTTCAATCTGAAAGCAATCTTGCTACCCAAAACCATTCTGCTCTTTTATTGAGGCTTATGTTTTAACATGAGGCCTCCAAAAAACTGACTTACTTTTGAAGAAATAAAAAATGGTTTCTCTTCCTAAAATTAGTCTTTCAGCATTACATTTTTAGACCATCATCAGAGATACAAGAAATCTTCAACCAAAGCCTTTTTTCAAGAGAGAAGTTTTACCTTGCGACAAAAAGTACTGCCTGAAACAAGTCACTCCTCCAGAGGGACAGGGACAACTTCATCAAAGCACGCCCAGGCAACACAAACTACTCCAACGAAGGCTAATAAAATTATACTTTTGAAGGATTTTTGAACAGGTCCACAGACAATGCTGGTAATTTTTCATGTTATTTCCCACCTTTTCATAACCTGAGCCCGTTACCTGGGAAAGGACTGGGACCCCTGAACAGCGACAGGAGTCCTACGTTGCCAAAAGCCAGAACACGCTTGACTGTACTTTGCTAGACTGAAGGGTACAGCTCCATCTTTACATTACACACAGAAGAGTTTTAGAAACTTCTAAACCTGCCATAGATGTTATTCTGGGTTATGCTACATTACATCTGGGTAAGCAAACACAGCTTCATTTTGACAATTTAACAGTATGCCCTCTTACTTGAGATATCAAACATAAGGCCCTTTTGAGAAAACAAAGAGGCAAAGCATGTCTTTCCCAGGACAGGGAAAGACATCCAAAAAGTACGGGTAACAAGATTTTTCTCCAAAAGTGTGATATTGAAGAAAGAAGCAGGGAAAATCTGTCTAACCAATTTCTAGAGTTAAAATGGATTTGAAGCTAACAATGAAGATGCATTCAGAGAACGCTTATGCTAAAAGGAGCTGAAGCACAAGTTTATGTATTTATTTCTAAATCTTAAAGTTGAAGATGATAATTGAGAATACCTAAGAAAGGGGCCCTTCTGTGAAGGCAGCACCTATCCAAATACCGCACAGAAAGTCTACACCTCTGTGTATGAGAAACTTGCCTGATGTGTGTTATTTCTAAACTTCCCACTGACTGGAGAAGAGAAAATCAAACGATGTAGCCGTGGCTGTGCAGGCACATAAGCACCAAGGAATTACACTTTCTTATCTGCAGAGAACACTCAAGAGACACAGGGACAGAAGGAAAGCATGGGGATTCATTTCTCTCACCTGATCCAATCCTGACCATGGAGCAGCCAAGTATTAGAGCAAGAGTTCAATTTTCCTTTTGACTTCCAAGGTGAAGAACCCAGTCCTGGAACACCAGCCAGAGAACCCAACCTCTAATCTCCTGTTTGTCTGCTAAAGCATACTGAGCTTTCTCAGAAATGTGTTATTTAGGTAAATATGTGGCTATTTGAATGTACCACTAGGCTTCTTGATAAACAAAATTAATTAGAGAAGTGGTTGGGGACAGGGGAAGGTGAAACTAAAAGAATGGTTACTTCAATAAAATTTGAATATAGGGTATATTAAAGCACCCTTACAAAACACTCAGGCTTTTTACAGGTTATTAACATTTTACTGAAAATACTTCACAAGAAAACAAGATTATACAACAGTACAACAGGCAATGAGCCAGAAAACTCATTTATTGTTCACATAGTAGAGAGAATGCTTAAAAATAAATGTTGTCTTTCCTCCCAGCCCTCCATAATTTGTCCTCTTAATCATCCTGAACTGTCTTAGCTAAATTAAGACTACTAATTGCATCAGTAGTGCTTCCTGAACAAATTCTTACTTTAAGATAAGATCAATACCCAATTTTTATGAAACAGAGACTGTTAATATACTTCACACCAGAATTTACACATCAAAATAAATGCATACCTTTTAAATAGGGATATTAAATTATTGGTAAAACATCTTTTGTGCTGGATGCTGCAAGTTCAGTGGCAGACCCAGCACTGTTGACTTAACAGTTGGACATGATGATCTTGAAGATCTTTTCCAATCTAAATGATTCTGACTGAAAAGCCACACAACTGCTGAAGTTCAAGATTATCGTTCCTTACTATAAGATTTAAAATTGCTACTAAATACATTACAAGACTAAAAATAAGCATGGTCTGAGAACGAAAAAAACCTCAGTAAGTTTTAACAGAGAAATTTCTTTCTTCTAATACCACACTGATATTAGGTTTTTTTTTTTTTACTCGTTTGGTTTACGCATCTTGATACTCTCATTCAAAGCAGTACCAATCTTCAGTAACATGGTATCACGTTACCAGTTACGCAAGAAGCATCCCTTACTGAGGTTCCTTCCTTAGTGAGCTTGCAATTTTTCCAAAACGAGTTCCAAGCACTTAAAAAAATTGTTCACAATTCAAGAAGCAAACGACATAGCTGAACAGCTAAGCTGATGGATAAGCAGCCATTTGAGTTTGTAGATGTGACAGTGTAAAAATACCTTTTAAAAACGAGTTTTTTAAACATCAACTTTTCCATATTTACAAGTCTAACACCTAACTGAATTGTCAGTGATGTCCAATGACAGGACAAGGGGCAACGAGTGCAAGCTGGAGCATAGGATGTTGCACAAAACCCTAGGAAAAACTTTTTCCCTGTGAGGGTGACAGAGGACCGGCACAGGCTGCCCAGGGAGGGCGCGCAGTCTCCTTCTCTGGAGACATTAAAAGCCTGCCTGGACGCGTTCCTGCGTGACCTGCTCTAGGGGATGCTGCTCTGGCAGGGGAGCTGGACTAGATGATCTTCTGAGGTCCCTTCTAACTCTTAACATTCTGTGATTCTGCGAAATCAAGAGGAATTTAAACTTCAATAAACAAAACCACTAGTTTGGTTTCTGCAGTGAAAGAGATACAAGAGATACCTTTTCTCATTCCAGCTCCTTAATCCAGCCAGTACAAATTTCTGGATAGCTCCCTCTCCTCAATGTGGTTTAATGTTTTAATATTCAAACCAAAAATTCTAAGTGTTCACATCAATTTGTTGCACAAAGCAAGCCAACTATAACATCTCTGGGTTTTGCGTTTTCAGCTGCACAGTTTAGTACAACAATGACAAAAAAATAACTACATGTGCAATACATAACTGTGAACTTATTCTTACTTACTTAAATAAGGATTCTGATTACATAGATAGGAGAACTTGACATTTTCTGCCTTCCCAGAAGTGATATGTCTATCAAGTTCACTTTAAAG